CAAAAAATGGAACAAAATACGTTTAAAAAAAAGTGTGCTGTCTATTTTTAGCTACGCTAAAAATGAAAATGATCACGCAGAGGAAGTTGAGTTGAAGTTAAACTTAAATTTATGAAGCAATCGTTTAAAAAACTCTTTTAAAATCCCAGCAACACTTAACGCTATTTAAAAAATTTCAGTAAACATCGGCCGTAAACGAAGTGCTATTAACTATGAAATTACCAACAACTATTCTCAGCATGTGATCAAATTACATAAATTAGCCGCAAGGCAAGTATTTGGTTAGTCAACCATTTGGCATGCCAATTGCCTGGCAGATCGGTTAAGATCTTCACAGATCCAGAGATAAACAATGTCTGTGCCCCTATAAGGCAAATGCAAATCAATTTTTGAGCCCACAGTGTCGCAAATTAATGTTAATCACATTACCTTATAAGCTAACGGGAAACGTAACCATATAGGCGACACTGTAAAAGTGTTGAGAGCTTTTATAAAAGCGACAAATATGTTTGCTCCAGATACGAGTGCTCGACTAGAAGATACCTCGTAAGTGGAGAGGCTGAAAAAATGTATCGCAAAACAAATACAAGCAAATACATAGAGAATATTTTTTGCATAAGATACTTACATATTGCTTTTGTATCGCCTTTTTATGTTCCATCAGTAAGCAGTTACATTTGCAAAGTTTTGATAAATGGAAATGGTTCTGTTTGCGGGATAGGCAATAGTATCGCCGTCGACAGAAGTCGCCGAGTGAAGGCTTTTTAATGCTGTTACAAAAATGGTGTGAAATTGCAAGGCTCTCATTCGGGAAGCTTAAAAGGAAGAATATGTCTGCTTGGGTAACAATACAAATTCTCTATTTTTTATTTTTGTCTAGTTGCATATTTGTCTAGTCTAGTTACATATCTATTTTAAACACATGGTATTTAGCCCAACAAATTGGCGCACACTATAAATGTACAGTTTTAGACAACGCCCCGCAATAAATTACAAAATGTAAGGCATAAATACACGGAAAATCAAAATGTCAGCAAGTATCTTTTATCTTTTTAATAGAGCTTATAGACAAGCAAAATTTTAGACACAGCTGTCGAATTAACTGTGAAACGTTAACTCAGGAATTTGAAGGGTTCAGCAAACAGCGATCGTCCATCGAATTTATCGAAGCAAAAACATCTGTTGTCCAGTAAATAAATTATTTTGTATTATTTTTATTTTTCCTTTTCTTGTTTTACAATATTATATAAGCTGGGCTTAGGGCTTTGCTGCAGCTTGAAATGTTTTGTTATATTGTTTTGCGGCAGCTGGGAAAAACAATTTTTCACGGACTCTGCAGTCTTTGGCACGGAAGCTTCTTCACATATTCACACGTAGCTGGAGAGACCCAGTGGCAGATTTCGATAAGTCATTGGGCTATAATTTGCTAGAGACACATGAAGACTTTTTCTATATAATTAAACAACAAAAAATAATAAAAAACTGAAGAAAAAAGCACAAAACACAAAGTTGACATTTCACACAGCAGCAGGTCGCTTTGGACCCACTGACTGTTGCAAGCAGCCGTGGCACCATGTGCCAACTTATGACATCACTTCAATTCATCACTTGGTGGACCATAGCCCGAGGCTGTGGCATATGCATGCCAGCAACAGTCGTATATGGTCTCGACACGAGTACCCAGTTCGAGTATTCATAGATCTTGATCAGACGGCGAGTACTTGTATCATTTGTTTAGCCGCACTAATCGCTCTTGGCTTGGGAAAGCGCCCAAAACAATTCTCATATACTCACACACTAGATTCACGGTTGGAACCCATAACTTGTCTTAAGGTTTGATTCATGAACCTGGCTTTCCACACATGAACATAAATATCGGTTCGAATTTTAATTCGTCACTTTTTTCAGTTTTACACGGAATAATTCTATTTTTCAATATTTCCCCCTTTAAAGCTCGAAATAGGTTCCCAGTTTTGCTTCCTTAATATATGGCTTAATATATGTAACTCCATATTTTTTTTCCAGTGCCAAAATGCATTGAACGCGCAAAAGACTTCCTTTTCTTGCACAGGACGTCCAGCGGGCTACTATGCGGACGTGGAGACGGGCTGCCAGGTGTGTTTCGTAACCTTTTGCATTGCACTCTTTTCTATGACCTGTTAACATCCTTTTCGCTTAGGTCTATCACATGTGCGATGGCCTGGGCCGTCAGTTCAGCTATACCTGTCCCAACACCACGCTCTTTCAGCAGCGCATGCTCATCTGCGATCATTGGTACATGGTCAACTGCTCCAAGGCTGAGAGCAACTATGCGGCCAATCTTCTAATTGGTAAGTGAAAATCAATACAAGCTTTAAGTAAGTAGATTAATGAGCAAGCAAATATCTTTTTCTCGGAAGTACCCGACTATCAAATACCCCGAAACTTCTACTAAAACATCAAGCAAACATATAACTAGCATTACTACAAAGGAAATTATATCTTCTTCCGGTTTCCAATACAATATACAATACAATCGCAATTTCAATGCACATATATACGAAAATTCTTGCGCCTTGCGCTAGCTGCCATGTGGCGTCCCAATCTTGATGAGATTTTCTGCAGTAGATCTTATTCGTCCATGGAATATTCGCATTAGCACTCTACATTCAAATTTTCTAGCTTTGTAGGTTCTGAGATCGACGCATTCATATGTATACTCGGATATACGAACAGACAGGCACACGCACATGGATAGATCGACTTGGCCGTTTATTTTGACCAAGGATATATATACTTTATGGGGTCGGAGATACTTCCTTCTGCCCCTTACATACATTTGTATAATACCATTCTACTCTTGTAAACAATTTTCAATGGGTTTAGGGTATAATGAACCTGTTTAAATTAAATGAAGCTTCAGAATCAAAATCTTTGTGAAAATGCGTTTTTACAAAATGTACATTAGCTTTCCACAAAAAGAACAAGGGTTAATAAACAAATTATCTTACTAATTATATTAAATAGATTGAGCTACATATAAGATGTTTAGATTTGGAATTAAAAATGCTCATGCCTTATTTGTTTCTAAAAATTTCGAAAGAAAAAAAATTAGAACTTCTAAAACTTATTCAAAACTATTAAAGACAACCAACTATGATTAAAGGAAAACTGTTAGAATAATCGGTTCAGTATTTACAAAGTTTAAGTGTTTAAAGTCTAAAAAGGACATTCATATATATCTCTTTATTTCTTTTTTTTACTGTGTGACTTTTAGGACAGCGTGATAAGCCCTTTGTCAACGATGAAGAAAACAATTTACGCACACCACGTCCAGATTTGCTGGATCGTCCCTATGCACCCGACTACTCCGGCGAGTCATTCAGAAGCCAGTACAAGGTAAGACTTTCCTATTCACCATAATCTTTTTCTATACTGACCAGGCTCTGTTTCGTGCAGCAGCTGACGCCGAGTCAAAATCAAATACGCGATGATTCCACTAAAGGCGTTGCCAAATTTGAGTCTCAGTTAGCACAAAACGGTCAAACACGCTGGCGCATTCCTCCACCCAGCCGCACTATACTGCCGCCGGCTTACGAACCACAGATCGAAGTGGCCAGCAGCACGCCCCGAGCCAAACCCATCAGCACCACCAGCCGCACCACCACTCGCAGGCCCGCCTCTGTTGCGCCTGTGCTGCACAAACGCACGGAGGCACTGCATCAGCGCATTACGGATCCTGACACAGATGACCTGGGAACCAGTCACAGCACACGCTACAATACCTCAGCTGACTTTAACTCTGCTGAGCACCCAGCGACCAAAAACACCACCAAGCTGGTCAAGTTCATCAAGGCACCATCGAAAATTTATGAACCACCTTTTGTGTATCCCATTTACAATCAGGACGAGCTGCAGCCGGCCACGGAAACATTGCGGACTTCGTCAGCGGCGCCTTTTAGCACCGCCTCAACTCAGAGACGCTTTACGGCAGCAGCGGCCGGGCCAAGCACCACCGCACGCCCGCTCAGCCGACCCACCACTTACGCTGGACAGCCCTTCTCCTACTCCACGTTGGCCACTACGGCAAGTACAGCGATCAACTATCGCCCAGCTGTGGCTCAAACAGAGCATCGTACGCCCACGCCGGCGCAAGCATTCCGCCCAGCCACGCCCCCTTCGACACCGCCGCCCAAAGTGCCAGCCAAGGCAGAGCTGCCTTTTAATGATCTGCTACCACCATTTGTGGAGTTTGTGCCACATGACATAGCCACAACACAAGGACCGCCCATCTACTACGAATGGAAAGTGCCCGCTAATGGGCTGCAGCCACCTAAACTGGATCCGCCCATAGGCGTGGACGGACGCGAATACCCGGAGACTACAGGCGACTACAGCGTCAAGACCAAACAGGATAGTTTCAACTCCAAATTGAATGACATAGCCAGCCATGGTTCAGCCGCAGTTGCGCCCAAGCGGTTGCCCAGCTCGCGTTCCATCAAACCCAATGAGCTGCCCCTGGTGGCCACGGAAAAGGCGCAGCGACGCGTAGATGTGGTCAGCGCTAGCGCTAGCTCCACATCGACAGACATAACGCAGCTGCGTAAGCAGCTGCTCATACCGGAGTATGCCTTCCCGCTGGAGACAATCGGGCGCACAGGCTATGCGCCTGGCTCGAGCCCCGCCGGAGATCTCTACAATTCATTTCAGTTAAAGATACCAGAACGTCGGGCCGGCAGCAACGGCGGCAGCAGCTCGTCTAGTAGCAGCTCCACTAATGGCAGATGGTTCGGCGAGAACCCCAAGTGCCCCGAGTGCCATCCATCGTTTGTGCTGCCCGGCACTTGCCAGCCCTGTTTGCGTAGATAGTTTAAGTTCTATTATATGTTCCATTCCACACGCCGCAACTACGCCTAGTATTAGATGACATAATATCCTACCCACTATCCGCCTTCGCATCTTTCATGCATTTAAATGTTAATTTTATTGTATATTTCACAGTAAAAATAATGCGCATTAAATAAGTGTGTAAAAACTACGTATATTCAAACATGAACCTTGGTCCACAATTGCTACGTTCCAGGTGGTAAGTATCTAGTATTAGATAATTAACTGTTATTATAACAATGCAACAGTTATGCTTGCCTAAAACGGCAGACTAACTACATATCTACATATACATATGTGTACGTAACTTCTTAGATGTAATAGAGATGGGCGACGAGTCTTAACAGAGAATTTTGCTTGAGTATTTCGAGTCAATAGCTAGATCGATAGGTTTATATTCTTATATAAAAAATATGAATTTCCTGTATTATATTGCGACAATATTGCCTGATATAGGTGCTCATTTACATTGTGGTTTAGCGTAATTCGTTGCATTTGTTATTTTCTAAAATTAACTCTTAAGGATTATATACAATTAACTTTGTGTGGCTCAATGACAATCCAGTGTAATTTATCATCTCACTTTTATAATTGTGTTTCAATACAACTCCCTTCCGCAAACGGTGATTAAATTGTGACTTCACAACTCTGTAATTTCTTGTGACTGTGACTAGGGAGTTTTTAACAAACTGATTTTTAAAACCACAGGGTTTTGAACAATTAGTTATTGTAGGTTTCCTTGGAACTCATACTTCTTCAGATTGATATTTTCGTATTTGTAACTTTACTAACATTTCAGTAAATGCAACTGGGACTTTCCAATAATTTGAATCGTTGTGGTGTAGTACAATTTCGACACTGTCAACAATTTCTTTTTAAGACAAATAATATCAATAAAAAAAAAAAACAAGCCAATCAGAGTAAAATGTTCTCTATTATCTCAAGATTTAGACAATTTTCATTAGCTAAAATTTGTTCGCATTGCCCATCTCTAATTTTGTTCATATAACAGATTCAAAAATATATTTATGTGTATATATGTAAATATCGCGTTTTAAAACGCAACAAAACGTGCAACATCGATGAGTACAATTTTGTATTTAAGGCACATTGTAAAGGGATCGAATGTCCACTTTAAATTCCTATGCTTGAATGCATGCTGGACCACTTATATTCCTCAAAAATCGATCTCTACACTAGGTACAATAATCGATAATAATCGATAATCGAGCTATATGCACAAAGAACAAGGGAAAAAACTAACGGTATTAAGAAAGGACAAAACTCGAATAGAAACTTTTGACTAGCACTTTGTGCGCCGTCAGCGTCAAACTGGGCGCACTTAAGGTTCATAAAAAAAGACGCTTGGTGTCCAGGGTCGGCTAGCGCCCACCAGCATCTCCGGATGGGCGTGTACCATCGCATTTTGGCCGCAACCAACTTCATCGCCAGGAAACTCTTGACCCACCGCCTGTGCGCGCAAAACGATCTGATGCCGCTTAGTCACATCCACATTGGCCACGACGCCAGATTCGTGGCGATAACTATAAAAACGATTCGTCAAATGGCCATCCACATAAATCTATTGACGGGAGAGGGTCATATATGATTGATTGGGTATATGTGAATTATAAATTGCGCTCACCTCGTATCCACCAATGGCGGCGCAGTCATCCAATTGCCATCGCACATAGAGCGCACGACAGCCCAAACTTGAGACATCCGTAATGGTTACAGGGAAACTTTCTCCCGGCCCATTGCCCATACAAGGCGACGGATTGGGGGTCTGAGAGGCGAGAAAGGTTTTAAAAAAAAAGTTTCGATCGGCAGGTCGGTTGTATAATTTACCTTAGGATTAATTTTATTCTTGTTCATCACATGATTCATAGCATGTAAATCACAAATAATGGAATCGATGAAAAATTTCTGTAATAAATGAAATTAATTTTAGTAATCTCCTTAGAGTACTATATTCAAAGGTCAACTACTAGGGAATATCCTTAACTCAACTTGTAAATATTTTAAGATACCCAAAGACCACTTACCGTTTCGGCAACGGGATCATATCGGACGGCATCCAGTGTCTTGGATACAGTCTTGCATTGGTTGTCGCAAGCGAGCGCCCGACAATGACAGCAAACACAGGGTTCTCCCGGTCGATCTACGCCGTCCGTGGCCTCCTCCTCTACGGTTTGCTCATCCCCACATAATTCGCACATGCGACGCATCATATATTCGCATAGTAGGCGCTCCCTATCCGTAAGCGGACTCAAAAGATCGTTCGAATCCTGATCACATATACAGCTCGGCTTTTGAATGGCACCAGAATCTGGAGTGAGTTCTTCAGCCTCGTCCACTTCTTCGTCCGCTTCTTCGTCGGCTGCTCCATCCAGCTTGGGCTCTTCTGAAGGCACTTCTGTGGACTCATTGTCAGTCCCACATGTACAGCTCGGCTTTTTTTGGGCACCAGAATCTGGAGTAATTTCATTAGTTGCTTCGTCCGGCTTTGGCACTTTTGGAGGCACTTCTGTAGACTCATTGCCAGGCCCACATGTACAGCTCGGCTTTTTAATGTAACCAGAATCTGGAGTAATTTCATTAGTTGCTTCGTCCAGCTTTGGCACTTTTGGAGGCACTTCTGTAGACTTATTGTCAGGCCCACATGTACAGCTCGGCTTTTTAATGTCACTAGAATCTGGAGTAATTTCATTAGTTGCTTCGTCCGGCTTAGGCTCTTCTGGAGGGACTTCCGTAGACTCATTGTCAGTCCCACATGTACAGCTCGGCTTTTTATGGGCACCAGAGTCTGGACTAAGTTCATTCGTTGTTTCGTCCGGCTCAGGCTCTTCTGGAGGCAGTGCTGTAGACTGTTCCTCGGGTTGGGTATCTACTTCGCCATACTCTTCGGGGATCTCAGGTGCCGCTGCCGTTGCTTCTGCAGAGTCATCTTCATCCATATCTGCCAGGGGAGTTTGTTTGTTATCTTCATCTATTGGGCTAGGAGGTGATGCAGAGATTCTTATTGAGTCGGGACTTATAGATTCCACTTGCGAGTCACGCTTAGAGCCCTCTATGGGCGTACTCGTTTTAAAATCTGGTGATTTTAAACTGGATGATTTGGAATCTGGTGATTTCCAGCTGATCGAATCTGGCGATTTCGAATCGGCCGATTTAGAATCGGGAGTCTTCCAATCAGATGATTTATTGCTCGTCGATTTGGAATCCGGGGATTTCCAGCTTCCAGATTTAGAGCACGTTCGATAGGAATCGGATGCGAATGGCGTATGAATCTCGACGTCGGTATGGCAGCTGACGAAATTCGTATCCTTTGAGTCAGCGTCGGTATCATAAGGCTTACGATAAGGATCAAAATTTGGATCACGTTCGAAAGCGACGATTTCCGTCGGTTGTATAGTCCGACCAGTTTTTAGGGGAAAACATTTTTCCAGATATTTTTCCATTTGATCAAGACACTGCATCCGCTCCAATTTGTCTTTCGACTTGGGCTGTTTTTTTGGTGGTAGTCGGCCCGCCGTTACGGCTGCCATACAATCTTCGTAGGATAAGGGTTCAGCTGCCTCTTCATCATCCTCTTCCTCTCGACGAAGCATCAGGGTTAGTTCACGAAACAGTTGTTGTATAGTGGCCGTGCGATCCAGGCAGCAATCGTTTGAATCGCTCAATAAATTCAATATATTCAGAATGCGTTCCTTTGGTGAACCGGCATTGTCCCATTCGTTCGATACACAGCTCCTGTAACTCGTCACCTGCCTTTCGGATCGACACTCACAGTAGCTGTCCTGTTCATGTTCGACCTGGATCTGGTCCTGAACCGGGCTCTGGACCTGGTCTTGGCCCCGAACCTCGACTTGTTCCTGAACCTGGACCTGTTCCCCGTCCTGCTCCATAGCACCCTCTTCAGGGCTGATACGATTTTGACCGGAAATTTTGGTACCCTCGGCATCGGGTGCCAAGCTAAAGTTTGGCATAGACACGCCGCATTTCGAGGTTGTTAGACAGGATTTTGAATATGCAGTTGCGGAGTTTGCCGATTTATAGTCGACACTCAACATTGGTTGGTTGCACGAACAGGTAAATGCGCTTTTCATGGACATCTGTTGGTCACCGTAAGGTACGGATGGATCTAAAGACTTGCAGCCAACCAATCTTTGCCCTTTATGAATTGGCATCCCCCTAGACGACACTTTGTCACAGTTGCAGCTCGAGGGTCCGCTTTCAATGTCTTGAAATTCAGATAAAGACTTGACAGCAGTACCACCTATGGAAGTCTCAGATGAAGAATAGCAATCACAAAATTTGTCAGTCCGATTCATAAACACAACCTTTGTGCTCGGTGCTACATTGCAGCTCTGACAACAGCTTGAATCTTTGGTAGCGGCTACCGAAAACATCTTTGATACAAGCACAGGATCAGCGGGCACAATGGCGCATTCTAAGCCACTTTCCTCGACTTTTGTGAAGGGCGGTCCTTCCCTACCCTCGCGTCCCACTAATCCCAACTTCATCCTCTGATCTGACGAGCACAAGCACGTGATGTTGGCCATTACAGACTGCGAACGTGACGAGGTCTTGTCGGCGTAGCCCAAAGAAGATTTATTGCAGGCTACCTGATGGGCACTACTATGCTGTGAGACATCATCCGCATTACTCTCGCCATGCTCAACTGGACGACTCTTGATGGATGTCGTTATATGGCTCCTGTCTGCATCGAAAAAGCTTTCACCTTGTTGAGTACCCATGTCAGAGCGTGCAATTTTGCTGCAGGAGCAAGGATGCGTCTTGCTAGGCTCCGAACGCGCGCTCTGATAAGTCGTGCTTTGTGCATCAACAAAGTTCGCTCCTCTCAGCATCTGCATATTCTGTGCCTGTTGGTAAAACGGGTCTTGGCCCAATGAAGTCACCGGCGCAATACTACTCGGCTCTGCTGCGATGAAGGTACGCGTACTTGGATCGGGTGCGAGGCAAGAACACGCCACATCGACGCCACTTTGATCGAGCTCAGCGGTGTATTTAGAGCGCGCGCTTCGCCAGTCGGTAGTTTCGCTTTGATTTTCACTTTTCGCGGTAACCATATTCCAAGGAATCACAGAGGGTTGCTTGCCAAACACACCTTCGGAGTAGCTCTGCGCGGTGAGACTACTGGGGATTGGTTGGAATCCGACATTGGGTTGAGCGACAACCGGCCGGCTGATGCCCGATTCCAAGCTAAGAAAAATCGTTGCGTCCTTATCGCCTGGTCGACTGGTGCAAGACCGTGCGCTAAAAAAGGTGGTGGTGTTATCCTTTTTCGAGCTAATATTAACAGGGCCGGTGCAGGATTGTGCGCTATAAAAAGCTGTGTCGGCATCCTTTTTAGAACAACTATCGACTGGAGGACCGGTGCAGGATTGCACGCTTAAAAAGCGGGTAGCGTCATCCTTTTGACTATTATCGACCGGACGACTGACGCAAGATTGTGCACTGAAAAAGGCCGTGGCGTTATCCTTTTGACCTCTATTATTGACTAGACGACTGCTGCCAGAATCAACGCTGAAATATTTAGTGGCATTATCCCTTTGATAACAGTTACAGATATCCCGATGACTTGTGCCAGTTTTCAAGCTATCAAAAGTGGTTGCGTTATCGAATGGTCGACTGGTGCAAGATCTCACGCTAAAAAAGGCCGTATCGTTATCCTTTTCGTTTCCTCTACTAGTCTCTGAGTGCAGGGAATAATAACAGCTTGGCTCAGGGCTGTGTGCGCTTGGCAATCCACAAGGATTTCCAGTTTGCGGCATAGTACTTGGTGCCATGGAACGACTATTGCCCGACTCCAGGCTGTAATAGACCGAGGTAACTCCAGCCTGATTGTCCAGAGTACGGGGACAACTGTCCCCGGAAAGCAACGATGGCAAGCCGCTGTGTACAGCGCATGATCTGGTCGTATTTGGATCCACAATTCCGCTCTGTGCAGTAAGGCAACTTGGATTTAAGCAATAGACAACATTACTTGGCTGGGACAAAGCATTAGCTTGATTTGCGGGGCCACTCTGTAGAGTATGGCAACAGGGCATTCCACACCAGGCAGCATTAGTTGGTTGCGACAAGGCTTTACCTTGATTTGCGGTGCAACTTTGTGTAGTATGAATACTGGACATTGGACTGTTGGCAGCATTAGTTTTTTGAGATGGGTTATTGGGTTGACCTGCAATACCAACAATTCTTGATTTGGAAGACTCATCCATTTGATCAACGGTGCCACTCTGTGCGACATGGCAACTGGGCATTGAACAATAAGCAGCATTACTTGGCTGGGAATCGTCAACGGTTTGATCTACGGTGCCGCTCTGTGCGGTATGGCAACTGGGTATCGAACAATAGGCAGCATTACTTGGCTGAGAATCGTCAATGGCTTGATCTTCGATGCCACTCTGTCCGGTCTGGGAACTGGGTATTGGAGAAGAGGCAACATTTCTTGATTTGGAAGACTCATCAATTTCATCAACGGTGCCACTCTGTGCGGTATGGCAACTGGGTATTGAACAATAAGCAGCATTACTTGGCTGGGAATCGTCAACGGCTTGATCTACGGTGCCGCTCTGTGCGGTATGGCAACTGGGTATTGAACAATAGGCAGCATTACTTGGTTGAGAATCGTCAACGGCTTGATCTTCGATGCCACTCTGTTCGGTATGAGAATTGGGTGTTGGAGAGGAGGCAACATTTCTTGATTCGGAAAACTCATCAACTTGATCAACGGTGCCACTCTGTGCGGTATGGCAACTGGGTATTGAACAATAAGCAGTATTACTTGGTTGGGAAACGTCATTGCCTTGATCTACGGTGCCGCTCTGTGCGGTGTGGCAACTGGGTATAGAACAATATGCAGAATTACTTTGTCGGGAAAAGTCATTGCTTTGACCTTCGTCTGATTCACAATAACAAGGTATCGGTGATGGTTGCGGTTGTATTTTCGGTTCCTCGTAGAGCGGCGGTTGAGCTTCCACTAATGGTACGTTGGGCATAGATTTTGAGCCGCAGGGACAAATGCTGGATTTATTACTTTGTGCACTGTTCTTACTATCAAATGGCTGTACGGCTGTAGAGGATGGTATACTTGGTTGCGATTTCGACTCGCAACAAGAATCTGTTTGCTGACATTGCGTGCGCATTTCAGCTTTAATTATTTGCTTCCAATCATTGTTGGTACAAATACATTCTTCGACTGGATGTTGACGACCTGAGTGGTTCTCATCAAAATTGATACGGTTTGGAACCCTTTCTTGCATCTGTTCATCGTTCTCATCTACAATGCGGCATATGTATTGTGTGGGATAATGAATTTTCCCCATATTATAGAAATCACAGCTGATGACACGCGTTTGTGACAGCTTGTCCGCAACAAAGTTATTACCGAGCGAGCGTACATAGTGATCGTGAAGATAGGATGTGTCCGTCTGAGATGGTTTGCCCAGTTCCGCGCTACCCTCCTCCATATCCTGCTGATTTCTTGAATTCTGTGTCTGCGTTGGGTGGCTGGGCATTTCGTCGCCGTTGGACTGCCTTTGGACAGCCCTTTGAGCTTCATTTCTCAAATGGGATTGGTCAGTTTGTATGTCTTGGGTGCGGTAGTTGGGGGCGAGGGCGTCAGCGTTCATTGGATAGCGTCGCTCATCTTGCATATACATCAGAGCTGGGCAATCTGCAAAAAAAGAATGAAAAAAGAGACCGTTAGATGCAGTTGGACATGATTTGAACATTTTATTCTGATGGGAAGAACATTAATCTCAATAAATTATAGACCATTTGGACAAGGAACTGATTATGAGCAAAAAGCGAAGCGAAGAGATTGGGAGGGGACGGATTTTCAAAGTTCAATTAAGAACGCGTTTGCGGCGGTGTCCTTAGCTCCTTGATCTCTGAGAGCTGTACCTCCCGACCGCGCGTTACGTTCGCTGATGACCACATTTCGCAGTGATACAGCTCAAGGAACTTGGCCTCGGCCTTCTCCCTGCATGGGCAAAAGTCGAAATAGGATGTCTGACTGCAAGTCTCTCGCTCATCAAAGTTGGAAAAAATGGTGCCACGCTGTACACAGCGGCAGACCTTCACATTAATGCGGTCGCGATTGTCATCAAAGGAACGTCGTTTCCAAGGGCACTGACAGCATCCACAATTGCCTGGACAGAAGACGTTACCATCCTCGTCCATAATGGGGCTAGGCTCGAACCGGCAAGGTGAACAATTTGAGAACTCCTTATGCTGCGGCAAGGCCAGAAAATACTTTTTAACAGGCCCCTCCATTTTCGAGGGTTCTGGTGTTAGATCGTGTACCGGCGTCAGAATCGGTTCGGTCTCCGACTCTGACAGCGTCATAATTTTCTGCAATTTCTCTGTATCTGGTTCCGATTCGGTCTCGGGTTCAGGTTCTGGTTCAGGTACTGCTTCTGGCGAGGGAAGGGGTTCCGGTACTGCAACTGGCACTGGTACTGGTACTGGTACTGGTACTGGTACTGGTACTGATACTGGCACTGGCACTGGCACTGGCGCTGGTACTGACACTGGCACTGGCACTGGCACTGGCTCTGGCATCGCTGCCGGTAAAGGCACTATGACTGGGACCAGCCCAATGCTCTCAATGGACTGACCACATGAGCCCTTAAACATGCTGTAGTCATCTTCTACGTCCGCTGCATCACTTAACGGCTTAAAAGTTTTTTTGCTGGTATCCCTACCTGTGCACGTCAGCTTCGAGCAGCCTGGTGTCTCCTTCTCAATAGGCCGTGACTGGCTTGTGACCATTTGGCCCGTATTCGGATCGAATTGCAGTGGCATTTGAACGGTAACCGGTCTGCCCTCTAGACGGCATTTTGAGCTGGTTTCCTTGGGATCGGTTAACAGACGTGCTGTTATCTCCAGAGTTGCACTGCACGGACGTTTACAAACCCGCTTATTCCGCTCAAAGTTTCGTAGCAGCATTTGTGTGGCATTTGCAGCACGCTCAAGGGTTTCGCGCACGACCACCGGATCATCGAATTTGCTACTGGCGGACGCATTACAGGTGGAGGTTGTTTTACAACTGTTTGTTGCCTTTTTACTAGAGGCCTTACTGCACATGGTGGGGTTGGTGCTAGTGATCGTCTTACAGCTGGCGTACATTTTGCAGCTGTGACCCTCCCGGGGAAAATCAGTGTCGCCAATACTCAGACAATCAAAAAAGATATCCTCATCGCTGCGCTGTGCCTGAAAATTGGGCCCACGATAGAGTACTTGAGTGGAGGTGCCCGCTTTAATTTGCTGCTGGCGAAGGCTGCGCAAATGGATGCAGGTATCTGGTTTCTTGCATCGTGCAGCAGAACACGATGCATTCTTATTGGCATTCGTTTTATTCCTGTCCTTGTCCATGGCTAAATGGACTATGGCTCCAAATGTATTCCAACTAATATAAGAATTTACATGAAATTTATTCTACGATGTTGCTCTTTGAAATGATTAAAATGAACTGAACCAAAACCCATTTGTCAAGCACCGCAACAAAAACGAAGCCTACTCATATGTCGCTTTTTTTAATCGAACTGAATTTACAAATAAATAATTTCGAATACGAGTGATATCGATAAGCAAGGCGCGCTTTTGATCCTTATCAAATTTGACAAACGCACCTCCAAGCTGTTTGCTAGTGTCTGTATCCGTATGCCCCATGCTTTTCACCACATTTTTGTTGCTCTGGCTTGCTATCGAATTGCAATAGCACATCTCCACGCTCTTCACTGGTGCGTGTTAACAACACCCACGCTTTTCACTAGAGTTACAAAAATCTGGAAGAACTGCCGCCATAGCTCCTAAGCATCCCAACGCACACGACGCCCGATTTTCCTAGCGCCTTCGCGTCGCTGTGAATGCCGCTGCACGTTTATTGAAGGGGGATTGGAGGTGCGCCTATCGCCCCCGCCTACGCCCTCGCCGGCAGTAGTCAATTGCTTCGGCCTTGGCTGAAATATGTTTACATTGACCTGGCCGTCGTGCGGATTCAGCTCCATGGGCAGTTTCAGTGTGACCGGACTGCCGCGCAGTATGCATTGGCAATGCGGGGGACAGCCACACGATGATTCCGTGTGAACTCGTGCGGTGATCTCCAACGTTGCCGGATAAGAGCACATGCATCCTCGTGGCTCGAAATTAGTGTACTCGCACTGCCCACCCAGGCCGCGTAGCAATATCTGTGCACTATTCGCGGCACGATGTAATACGTCGCGTATCTGCATCGGATCGTCATAATTATTGGGTTTTCTTTGCAATAAACAGTGGTCGGTAGCGTCCCCTTTTCCAGCCTTGAGTATGCCCTCTCGCTGCATGAGTACAGTCTCGCATTCGTGTTCACTCTCGCTGCAGCAGTCAAAGAAGATGTCCTCCATTGTTTGTATTTTTTTTTTTTTTTTTTTTTTTACTTTATTTACACACGCACACACAATTTTGAAATTACTCTAATTCGAAACAGGATTTGAAGTGTAAGCCAAGGTTTGTACAAAAATAACTCTGAAAGCCAACGACATAAACTCGCCAGCTAAGCTAAGCGGAAGCTGGCGGCAACTTCGGATAATTTGGTATTCACGTATCCTCGCCGAATTTCAAGGGATTATGCCGCTCCACCGGATAGTAGATGGTGCAATAGAATTCCGATTCCACTTTGTGATTATGAAAACTTATCAAACGTTCATTGATGCGCTCCTCCAACTGGTGCAGCAACGGCGAATTGCTTGGTTTGAGAGCAAATTTCAGGGCACGCACACAGCCCAGCACGGCCACGAATACATCGTAGCTCTCATAAAGCTCGGGTGTGTCGCGTGCACGCGTATGATCGGTGCACAGATCCTGCAGCAGCTCGATATGCTCACGAAACTCTTCGCTACCCTCCCACAGCTGCAGCACACGTGCCCGGAACACATTCACGCCAAAGTTGTCATCCTCAATATTGATGCACTCCTGCAGCAGCTGCATAAAGGCACGTGTTCTGCCCGGCAGCAGCAGCAGGCGCGCCTCCACGCATACATTCTCCGCTTGTATGCCACACTCCTGGGTGTTGCACTCTGTCTGCAGCTGCTGGTCGCACACCTGCGGCGTCGCCTGCACCAGCTGGCTTTGCGAGCTGATGGGATCCGTCTGGGCCAGGCCATTCAGCTGCGCCTGCTCCCACTGTGCGTCGATGATCTCCACATACTGTGTGCGCGATGTTCCAGGCGATGATTCCGTGTGCGCCGTGTGCACCGAGGCTGCCGAATGGAAACTAGCAACGGAATAGCTATGATGGAGGTTCATCTCGATTGGACGACTGGTGCCGCCGCTGCGTCGCACACGACTGCGATAGAGGCGATGACTGACAAAGCGCTTGCACTGCTGACGCTTGTGACGCAGCTGCGTCCGCTCCAAACGTGCTTCCTGCAGCTTCTGCTTGAGATTTACTTGCGGATCCATTGGCTGGAGCGGCTGCTGCAACTGCGGCGACTGCTTGCCATATATCAGCCGGCGCAGCGTTGTGGGCACCTCACAGATTTGCTGCTTTAACTGCTTGCCAATCTGGGTTAGGCCAATCCCCTCCCTGCCCGACAATCCGCCACCTGCAGTTCGGCGTGGGGTTACGTTGCCGCTGGTTCGTGCTTCCGCAGCCTCCTCATCAGCAGCTGCTGCCTCATCAGCGGGCACCCCCTCGGCGGGCGCCTCTTCAGCGGGCACCCCCTCGGCGGGCACCTCTGCGGCAGGCGCCTCTGCGGTTGGCACCCCTTCGGCGGTCCCCCCTTCAGCGGGAGCCCCTTCTGTGGGCGCCTCCTCGTCGGCCGCCTTTTCAGTGGCAGCCTTTGCCGCATCTGCCTCCCCTTCCTTACTGCCCTCTTTCTTCTCCCCTTTCTCAGCCTCTCGCTTCGATGCAGAAGTCTGACATGGAGTAGGCGGGCGCTCCTGAGCGCCTTCACATTCACATTCACTCACCGGTGGCTTCTGGGCGTGGAGTATGGTATCCGCCAACTGCTTCACACTGCAGGCTATCGTCTGGAAGTCCTTGTGCGTGGGCAGCTCTCGTTCGCGGCGCTACAAAGAAAATGTCACACATGTAATCAAGGATGATCTAAGTATTTAGGATAAGTGCTCAAGTCGAGTTTGTGAGATAAGAAGATTTCCACAAAAGAACAGACTTCACCACTTTAGGTTGCTGTTGTGATTTTTTCTTCCTTAGGCCTACATAACGGAAAATTTGGTTGTGCTTTTTGTCCCATTGTTATACAATTTATCGGACTTAGAGAACTCATTTAAATGTGTTTATATGCCAACAAAAAACTAAAAGTAGCATTTTTTATACCCTTGCAGAGGGTATTATAATTTTGTATAAAGTATACATATATATTCTTGATCAGTATCAACAGGCGATTCAATATAGCCATGTCCGTCTGTCCGTCTGTCTGTTTCTATGCGAACTAGTCTCTCAGTTTCAAAGCTATCTTTATGAAACTTTGCAGAAGTCGCACCAGTCGAACCAGCTGGATCGGACCACTATATCATATAGCTGCCATAGGAACGATCGGTCGAAAAGTAGGTTCTTGTATGAAAAACATTTTTGTTTATCAAGATATGCTCCTCATATATATGAAAAATCCTATCAACATCGGACCACTATATCAAATAGCTGCCATAGGAACGATCGGTCAAAAATTAGTTGTAAGGAAAATTTTTTTGTTTTTCAAGATATCTTGACCAAACTCGTCATTTATTAGTTTTACTATGCTCCTTATATATACGCAAAATCCTGTCAACATCGAACCACTATATCATTTAGCTGCCATAGGAACGATCGGTCGAAAATTAAGTTGTTGTATGGAAAACATTTTTGTTTATCATGATATCTTGACCAAACTCGGCATTTACTAGTTTTACTATGCTCCCTCCATTTATGCACAATTTGATTTACATCGGACTACTATATCTTATAGCTGCCATAGGAACGATCGGTCGAAAATTAAGTTGTTGTATGGAAAACTTTTTTGTTTTTCAAGACATCTTAACCATACTCGGCATTAACGATTTTCCCTGTCCTTCTTAGATACGGGGAAAGCACTATGAGCATTATGAAAAGGTTGGGTCTGCAAGGGTATTCTTTCTCGTTAATATAATCAACTATCTTGTATAAAAAAAAAAAATTAAGCCAGAAATCAAATTATCAATTTTCATACCTATACATATGTATAGTAAGAGTGCTCTATTCGTGAGAATCCGACTAAGAGAAACCCTTTACTAGTTTCTATCCACATCTCTCCTGTGCTTCTTACCATTGACACATTATGGGAATTGCATTCTTTAATAGCTTCCGCATTTATGGCAAGGTCGTTGTGAAATTTGAAGCGACAATATTTTACGCAAACAAAGTGGAAGGCTCTACCTTCAAAAATTAGTTTTTCTCAATTCAAGTCTCTAGTTTTTGTAGAGCAATGCGTCATTCTGCCTGGTACATGGAATTGTATAAACACTTTATAAATGCAAGTTATGAGCGTGACACGGTCATACGGACGATCAGACCGACAGCTCGTCATCAAAGAGGATTATTTGCGATTCAAATACATATATATCCACCAAACAATTATACTCATATAGTATTTGCTCATTATAAATAAGTGCAGGGTATAAAGACCTACCTCCAAATCCCTCAAAGCACAGCCCAGGCCTTGGCTGGCTGCCTCCAGATCTCTGATCTCCTCACGCTTTGCACGCTTCTCCGGACTGTCGTAGAGCTCATCGGCCAGACTAAAGCCTTCGGGGCAGACGCCTAGCTTCTTCTCCAGTCGTTGCACTAGCTCATCCTTAGTGCGCAGCTCATCTTCCAGGCAACATGCACGCTCTTCGCACGTATTCAGCTGTTCCTCCATTTCTGCAATTTTCGCCTCCAGCGTGCGCACCTCCTCCTTGAGCTCACCATTGGTCACCTCGATGTGCATAAGCTCCTTCTTCAGATCGTAGATCTGCTGGCGGAGGCAATCAGTTTCGGCTTTCAGCTGCTCCTCCATGCTCTGCTGCAGCTTCTTGGCAAAACTGAGATCGTCGATCAGCGTCTGACAGCGTCGCTTTTCGTTCTCCAGCTCTTCGGTCAGTGGCTGTAGTTGCTCCGTAGCGAGACGTTCCGCGGCCGCACGGCTTTCCATTTCCTTTTCCATCGCACGATTCTGTTCCATCAGATCGCGATGCTCCTTGGTCAGACGCACCAGGCACGTCTTCAGTCCATGCTCAGTTTCCTCTAACTGTTGTATCTTCTCGGCAGCAGCGCGCGAATCATCGCGCAGGCAATCCTGCAGCTTGTTAATCTTCTGCTTCAGGCACACCTCTTTGGTACGATAGGCCTCCTCGCGCGACTTGTACTCACGCTCCAGATCGACCCAGTGGGAGTCAGCCGTTTCCATGGCCTCATAATGACGCGTATTGAGATCCTTAAGGGAACAACGCAAAGTCTTGATCTCTTCCTTTAGATAATTAATCTCACGCGCTGCGCCTGGATCCTGACTGGCATTCGCGCAGTTTTTGATAAAGCTCTGCTTGAGTTTAGCGGAACTGCAGGGGCCACAGGCCGGCTGTGAGGCGCCAGCTTGTGTGCGTTGTGGCAGGGACTCCTCATTGCCCATGTTGCTGGTACCAGGGCTAATCCTGACAAGCGCTAATAGGTGGTAAATTAGCAGTAGGGGAATGGATCGGCGCAGACTCTCCAATTGCTGCTTGGCACGTTGTCTCTCCGCCCGCAGATGCTCCAGCTGAGTCTCGGCAGCACATAGGTCCTCGCGCAATATCAGACACTCAGCACGGCAGTCCCGATACTTTGCGCCTAAAGCGTCCTTACCGAACTCTAGCTCCACGTTACGCTGTCGCAGTATTTCCAGTTCCTCCTCGTTACGCTGCAAATGTAGACGTGTATCGTTCTCCGCCTCCTCAAACTCACACTTGGCCTCGTCCAGCAGCGCGTTTTGCTCCACAAGCACCTCCACACGCTCGATCAGCTCCTTCACCTGCTTATTCAGTTGCAACTCACGTTGCAGACGCTCCGCCAAATGCTTTGCCTGCGTTTCGCCGCTGCTCTCATAGACCAGGAGCTTGCCCTCCAACTGGATGAGACGCTCCTGATAATATTGAAGGTGGGGATGAGGTTCGCGTTCCGTTGACGTTGTGGATAAATCGCACTCGACAAACACACCGCTCTCGCTGAGGCTGCTGTTCTGCCAGGCGCTGCTGCCAGTTCTCTGCAGTTGTTTGCTTGGCGTTGTGGGCGCACTGGGTGTGGCACTGTTACTATACGGCTGTACGGTGGCTACGATGCGACTGTGCCTGGCACGTGGTTCCGTTTTCGTCTGCAAAGGCAGCAAAATGAGACCACACTTGAATTTATGTTTCGGGTTTCTATTGATTTTCTTAACGATTAAAAAAAACAGTTTTCTTTTGTTGCGGTTAAAATGTAAATCTTGTCGTTTCAAAACGACTTGTCCCCAACTTCTGACTTTCTGACACACGCCTTGACTTTTATGTAATCAAAACATATAGATTTATGTACTCACCGTTGCCTGCCAGCTATCCTGTTCGGCCATCGCATCCAGATCGAGTTGCTGCACGCACATCAGCAACTGTTGCAGGCAGCGTTTATCCCTGTCATCCAATTGCTGGGCGTTCTTGCGCAATAGGTTTTCCAAACGTTGACACTGATCCTCACAGGTGCCATCCATCTAAATACGATATAATACAATTCATAAAAGATAATATAATAAAAATTATGTGTAAGCTTTAAATGATAATAAAACTACTTTATAGTAGCTTTCAGTTTTTCATTTTTAATTTTACAGAAAAACAATAGTGCTCTAGTCGGAGTCGCATGACCAGCTGAGCAAAGGATGTGCTTCCCCGTTCCCTGTGCTTACGCTCCCCACTGTTAAAATTATTGAATCAATATTCCTTATTGGAAACTGACATACGGACGGATCTTATTCAGACCGTTTTCGTGATTAGAGCATAGAGGTCATATGTGATTTTTCAGGTAAATATTATGTGTTACGTTCAAGAATGTTACATTTAATATAATTGCAAAATCAGCGAAGTATTTAAAAATGGCGCTTAGTGCTCTTAGAACGACTGCAGCTGATCTCGTACTCTTCTTTGTGCGACATTAAACGGTTTTCGCGCTGCGCAGTTTTTATTTAAATATCGCTAACATTACACCAATGAAAAAAAGTTTTGGCAGACAAACAATTTATAGCGAAGAATCGCAATGGGGACCGTAAGTTCAACACATATAATTTCAATGTGTAAGTGTGAGGCTGAGTCATGTGGATACTCGTTTCAAAAGGAGCGTTTGCAGCACGGTGGGCATGGAATGCACACCTGGCCGTCTAGCTGAAAATATACATATGTATATAAAAATTGTTTATACAGATGTCTTGTTTTAAATTGGTTTAGATTTCCTATGGAAAATAACAAACAAAAATATGTGTGCCTTGTAAGTATTATTTTTAGCAGCATTAAGAAATTATTATTATATTAAAATCAATTTTCAACTTTAGACCTTTCTTTCAAACAAAGTTTGAAACTTCGTGGTTTGTTTGTGCTTTTAAAATTTCTTCTTATTGGTTGATGAGTTATACTTATAAGTGAAACAAAAATGTCAATTATTTTTCTTTGAAGGTCAAAACTAGCTAACATTTCAGCTTTGTCAAAATTATTTTAAACTACTTTTAATAATTTATAAAGCTGTTCAATATTTATTTATTTAAATTCTACTTTAAATTATAAAATAAAATTTGAATATTCATTTTTCCATTGATGTACATATATAAAATATTCATAACATTCATTCAAATATTCTCATAATTCATAAAATAGAAACTACGACTTTGTTTTTTCCAAAAACCTCTTAAATATCTCTGATACTTTAAGAAATAGTTTAACGGTGAAATTTTGCCATTAAAGCTTTGTAAACTCGAAACACAAAACATTGTTTTAATTGTAATGCAAGCAACTGCTGCGATTAGCATTGGCTTAATGCACCACTGATTAACGATGCTTCTTATGTTATTTTCACTTTACAGGCAAAGCCTCCCCACTGAAATACATAAACGTAAGTCTGCATATAAACAGTAATTAATTTTTGTTATTGCAGTTAAGCGAACGAATTGGATTTTCAAGCTGAACGACTTAAAAGCTTGGCGTTCGGCTCTAAAAATTAAACGTAACAAGGCACAAAATAAAAATAATGAAAAAAGAGGTGTGTAGCAATGTCGTGAGTAATATTGAGACAATATATATGAATACATATATATATCTATTCACAAACCACATTTGACACATAGCTTAAGAGCAAGCCCTTATATGAGTAACAAAGACAACAAATAATTTTAACTTGGCCAAAAACAGCGCTTAGACAAATCGCCTTTTAGGCCAGCAACAGCAATAGATGTGGGCTTTAAGTTGTTGATATATATACATATACATATATACACAAACTTATGAAGCTCAAATTGTGTATTATAGCTACTATATAGTAAATATAAGGCAATCAATCAGAACATTTTTGTGTGCCACAAATAAAACTTGGTCAACACTTGGCCCAATGGCCACTTGATAATTACTGCACTTGTTTATGTTTATATAAAGTAATACAATTATAATTATATGAATGCTTATTATTCATATAAAATTGCTTTTAAATATGTTTGCTCCATTAAAAATAAATCCACTTTTTAATTGAAATTACCGTTGTCCGTTAATCAAAACAATTTCCGCACTGTCTAAGACGCCAAACAAAACTAAACCATTGTTAGGCACGAAGCAAGCAGCTGAAGCAGCTGAGGCAGCTGTAGACCATACACACACAAGCACACACACAACACAAAACACTCAAACACACTCGCTATGTACACTCAATTCATTCATAAGCTCGTGCAGTTATTCGAGTTGCTCTTTTGAGCGCTTTTCGTAAACTGGATTTTGAGCGCTTTTCTATACCCTTGCATAGGGTATTTGAATTATGTCACTAAATGTGGAACGTATTTAAAGTATACATATTCATGATCAGTATGTATTGTTGAGTCGTTATATGTAAACTAGACTTTCAGTTAATTAAAGAAACATGACACAATGGTTAGTAGTATTATTTGGAATGGATCTACCGGATCGGATCACTATATCATATAGCTGCCATAGAAACTCTCAATCTAAAATATATTTTTATTACTATCTACACTATGACCAAAATCTTTTATATTGTTCTATTTGGAATAACATAGGAAGTCAGTTAAAAACGGGTTCTTTTCTAAAAATGGTATTGTTCTTTACGACTTAACAAAAGTAGTTTCCCTATGCTAGAATAACTTACAATTATCGAACTATAATATAAAATAGTTCCCTATCAGTCACGCATTCATTTTTTATGAGCTTAAAAATGCTTTTCCTGCGAAAACAGCGTTATCTGACTAACTAGAACTATATATATATTTTCTATATGTCTGGAAGGGTATTTTATATTCGGCGTCTCGAATTCAACTGTTTCTTTTCATTTTATTTGTTGCTGTTCACCTTATCATCCTCTAGTTCGAGTATGCGAAATTCGAGCAGTTCATTCTGTTCACGCAGCTCGTTCGCTTCGGTGTTAAGCTGCACTTGCTGCTCCTCCATATCCTTGATGCGCTGCAGCAGCTCATTGATACGTGTGTGGTTGTTGTTGGCCGAGAGGGCGGCCTTTTCGGCTGCCAGCAGTTCCTGTTTTATCAGCTGCAGTTCGCTTTGCAGACGCTCGTTTTCCTTGTGATAGATTTCCACTTCCTTTTGCAACTTGTCTAGATCTTGCAGCTGTAAGAGGGTGATATTTAATACATGTGTGAATAGATAAGGAATATGGGCAGCTGCCTCCACTTACTGCTTGCCACATGACGCCGCTGTCGGCGCCACTGGAAGGTGGCTGTGGACTAATTGAAGGCGGCGCTGAAGACAGCGCTGAGTCTGTATCCGAGTTGTGGTCCTGGAGGAACAAAATATTATTTAGGTTTAAAATAGATATCTATATATGTTATTTATATCCTAATGGGTATTTAGCGGCCTTGCCTTGTGGAAGTTTTGTGCTTCAACTTAACAGTTCTCGCCCCCTGGAAAATTTAAATCAATCCATCCTATTTAGAACTCCACGTCTAAAGTTAAATTTTACATAGATATTTAAAAAAGTGTTTGAAGTCCACCGTATAAGAACTAAAAGTTTGAAAAAGTTTTCCGCCTTTGTTAGTGTTGTGGTGAAAATCTTGGAGCCGAAAAAGAAACTTTTGTTCATTAAGCCTTCGACCCGAATTTTCTATCCGAGAAGAGCGGACTTTGAAAAAAACATATCATATCAAACATAATTTTTCACAAACATCTTTGAAGATTTTCAGCAAAATTTGCACAGTTGCGGGTGGAATTTCCAAAATCGCTGAAACACTTATTTATTAAAGTCTAATGTAGGCCTTGAAAAATAATAATAATAATAATAATCTTAGACCCGTGGAAAGTATGAAGCATGAATAAATGTTGTTAAAAGATTTTTGCTAATGAGCTTACACCCGAAACTTCGCCCATTCAACTTTTGACCCACATTTATCGTCCATTCCAGAGAGCTGGATTTTGCCAAACGTTTGAAACACGTATCCAATTCATTTTCACAAAGATATAATTTATATTGAATTTACCACAGTTGCGGATGGAATTTCCATAATCGCTGAAACACGTATTCATTAAGTTCATTATTTAGGGCTTTGAAAATAAGTTTGATGCAAATCGGACATTATTTAATTTGGATTTTCCAAAAAGTGTGAAAGATCGCCGAATACATTTATATATTTTTGTATTTTATACATTTTTGAAAAGATCTTTTAAAATAAGTTAGAAGCCGTTCGGTTGGTAATCAACAATGTTTCGTACATATGTACTTTTTACGCGATTTTTCTATACGTTCACAATCATATAATGTAACTAAAACTTCCTAGCTCTTACGGTTTGCGGTGTGCGTTGATCACCAGTCTGCCAGCCAGTCAGGCAGGACAAACAGTTTTATATATGTGAAACTTTATTGAATCGGAATCATTAAGTAATTTCAGATTTTGTTATAAGTTATTGTTGCGGTGAGTAAAATTACAAACGGACAGAAACCTCATTTCTTCTTAGGCATTTTCTTAAGACGGATGGAAGTCCTATTTCCACGCTCGGAAAATGGGTGGACTTTTTCAATTTTACGTTCAATTGCTTTTGATAGTCCCTGTGAATATGTGAGCCCATATATGCGATTGAACAGATTCTGGCCTTTCTTCCAAGCCCATTACCAAAGCTGCATATAAAAAATTGAATATCACGTGTTTCACAGATTTTAATTTTAAAAATTCACAATCGCAGGCGGAAAACTGGCGATTACCTTTGAAGAGCAACAAAAAAAGTTGCCTGAACAAGCCCGGATTATACTACAATTTGTTTTTACTTATATTCGACGAATGCTCACCTTTGTTCGGTATTCCCTGGTTGTGGGCTTTGTAGCGGCAGCGCTGCTCGTGAGCAGCGTTTCCATCCATGTTGTTGTTGTTGTTCCCTCTCCAGTCATGATTTGTTCATGATTCATCTGTTGCTTTTCTTGTTGCTGATGTTGTTTAAGTTGTTGTTGTTGTTTTAGTTGTTGTTGCTGTTGCTTTGTTGTACGCATTTCGAGCGTTGATTTATGCACATTCTTCGTATTGTTGATTAGCTCAATATTCTTGAGTTGGGTTATCTAAAAAGAACGGGAATAGGAAAAATTGCGTTCATGAGTGCCTTTTGGCCACATTCAACATAAGTTGCCGTCCACATGTTGCTTGTTAGCTTGAGAGAAGCGTGCAACAAGTGGGCACACACGTTCCGCTGTCAGCGTATACAGTTATGACTTGATTTCTTTCCCCAAAACGCCACGAAATTGCCAATTCATTGTTATAGACGGTTTACTGCTTGATATATTTGAACGCTAACAGGTTGTTGACCCTCCGATGATGCCAAAAGCAACCAATCTATAGAATTGTCGGGCAGACCAAAGCACATCTAGAACTTATTGTTATGCTCAACATTGTTGTATCTAACAACATAAAACAAGGCACAAAAACAACAAAAGTCGTTCACCGAGATTCAAAGGATTGGCTAGAACTATTGTCCTCAACTAGGTAATTCCAACAAATCTTTCCCATCCATTAGTAAAGTAAAATTGAACCTATTAGGTCTTCTATGCTGCTCTTATTTTCATACCTGTTTGTAACATTATTGGAAAACAAATAATAACATTTTACTTTAAATATAATTTAGTATAAAATGCTTTTTAAAAATGGACAATAGTTTTGCATTGCAATGTTCATAGTAAAAGGTTCTTGTAGATTTCAAAAACACATAATTTTGTTAAAACTTGACCGATCAGCACGAGTAATTTGTCGTTAAGATTGAGATGATATTCCAAAACGTTTGAGTCCCACCGTACCGTGTCTAAGTAGTTATCTTTTACAGTTGTATGTTGTAAATGTATATCGTGATTCCTTTAAATCACCAGCTACACGCAAGTTTGAACACAAATACTCAAACATTTGATTTACACTCACGCCAGTATACCATGTACCATTTGCTGTTTATCTTCGAAGCATGTCACGAATTTCACGGTCACGAAGCGTGTTGCTTCGTAAAGACCCCACTCCTAGAGCCCCCGCTACGATATCATACAATCGGCTGGACAGGCTAATTGACCCCACAAAAGTAATCAAGACTCGAAATCACTTTCGAATCAAACACGCCCATTTTCATATCAATTTTCAAAGTATCTCCCTGTCTCTCACTTTCATATCAAATTGATTTTTATATAACTCCGATTATGGTCATGTTATACGCATATTGCCAGGCATTATGCTAATTTGCACCGCTCAATTGGCCGCAAACATAATGAAAATAGGTATGCGCCACAGTGAAATCATTAATCAATTGTGAAATGAGGTGGGCTACACCCAAAAAAAATATAGCAGAGCCCAGTGCAATGACCAATCGCCGCCCATATCGTATCGTATCGTATCGTATCGTTTCGCAACAGACCCATTGGGTCGCTGAGAGAGCCATGAATACCTAAGCAGGCCCCAAATGGAGTCGCGCCTGAATACCTGCACGTCTTTTAGGCGTCTGATACTCGCCTCGGATTTGAAATGATCGGCGTTGTGGCTAACCGTTATGGTAATTTCTTGAATCGATTCCAAAAGAACATTTTGCGTAACGGCGCAAGTTAACGAACTCCCCAACGTGCCGGGCAAATTAAGCAAGTGCCTCAGACAAAGAGACAGGCAGGCAGATAGACAGTATGCACAGATTTGATGACTCTATCTTTAGAGTGCTGCTCCAATCAGACCCAATGAAAATGGCCTCATACAGATTGCGCTAAATGCATCGATGCACAGTGCAGCGAGTCGTGTAAGCAGCTCAAAATTGGTTGAAATACTCCAGAGCAGAAAAAGGTCTATGCTGTTATCGATAACGATCAATATAATAATATAAGTCTAAATTCGTTAATTTGATCAATTTCATAAATCGATTGGTGCTATCGATTACTAACATAATAATCGAAGTAGTTTGTACTGTTATCGAGTCTGAATACGTTTAACTCATTTTGTTCGATCAATTTCATAAATCGATTGGTGCTATCGATTACTAACATAACGATCGTAATAGTTTTTACTATTATCGAGTCTGAATTCGTTTAATTCATTTTTATAGATCAATTTCGTAATGATCACACATATAATACAGTTTTTACAAATCGTTATGAATTTAATTTTATTTATTGGGTAAATTAAAAAAAAGCGTTCCAAATTTGTATAGTTCTGTTCTAACCGATTCCTGCTATCAATTGCTATCAAACCATAACAATTATTGCAAACCATTAACTATTGAAAATTTATACTTAGAACCAGAAAACCACAGTAAAACATTTGTAAAATGTGAAAAATGGCATATCCAATAAAATGAAAGTTTCAGTTCTTTTAGGCATTTTTGCATCTTTTAAATTATTATGAACATTTGAATGTTAAACAACTTTAACATAACGAATAGTGTTCTATAAAGAGCTAAAATCGGTCTCAACTTATTCTTATTTTATTTCTAACATTTCAGTCCATACCATTTGCCGCACTGCACTGTGCGTTGCAGGCAGCCGCTTGCAGCTAGCATCTTGCAGCTTGCAGCTTGCCACAGTGCTGCCAGCTAAGTTTCAAACGATTGTGTGTAAATCTGTCGACAAGTTGCAACTTGATGTGCTATATAGTCTGGCAATGCACAAGTGTTTGGTCTTGTGGCTTGTGTTTTTGTTTGTTGTGTGTGTTGTGTATGTTGGTCTCGACGTCAGTTTTGTTTGCACAAGCCACAACCAGAGGCCGTTGCGGTGATTGTTTGTGTGAAATGATTTTCCTTTCTGCCACAGCGGACAGGTTTCACTCGATCGACTGCAGTTTTAGGTAGCGTTCCGGGTTCGACTCCCTCCCGTTGCACGATTACGTGTCAAGAGCTGAGCCATCGATGCTTTATATCCAAATACATATATTCATATGTATGTACATTTACACATATACACATGATCGGTTATTTATGTACATATGTATTTGCATTTGGCATTGTAATACAGGTTTGTCAGCCACAGACACTGAGTCTGCATAAGAAAACAAACTAAAAATACATATATATAACCATTGCTTTGATTTGATCTTGCGAAAGCGAAAGTTTTATATGCGCTAATGAATTATATTGTTTATCAGTTTCAACCCAGCCGCTGTAACCCAAAACCAAGCAACGCGCCTTACCACAAGCTAATTGAACTAATGAATGGACAAGGTAGATTTGTTGACATGACGCTCATTAATTCGAAATGATAGCCCCCTCTTAAGACACAATGTGCGTGTGTGTGGCTAATCCCAGTGTTTAAATCTTCTCGTGTTTGCCTTTCCATTCCAAAAATAAACTCCCGAATAGCTATAATTTCTCCATCATTGCTTGTCAAATGCGCGCCAAAAAATTATTAATCACAATATCGCAAGTGAAGTTTTGCGATTTGAGATCCAAACAAAAAATATGCGATTAAAAGTTTGTATATGTATCTAATGCACAAGTTTCAAATAAAAACTTATTATTAAATAAAGCTGTTTGAAGTCAGTATTACAATGCATAAATATACACTAAATATATTTTATCCACAAGAGGAAGCTTTGTGAAGCCCCGAGGAGTTAACATAAGGGATATAAATCAAAGGGTTATTGAAAGCAATTTAATTAAAACTGTAAGCCAAAAGAATGCGTAAGCGTAAGTGAATGTAAGCCCTAATAAGCGACCATAGTTAACATATTTGATTAGGTTGAATCTTGGGAAAAGGAATGCAAATATTAAACAGCAATAAGATGTTGTGCCATTAGTGTGGACGACTATAAGTTAAAGCCTTGTAACTTATAGGGACTTGCATGAATTAGAGTAAACTCCAAAAGTGAGGGCCGTGGAGAACTTACTTATTAGCTTAAGCGTAAGTTAAGAGTGCAAGTAAGGATTGGAATATGGCACGCATCTCAGAACATCTTATAAATTAGACCACCAAAGAGATTTAGCATTAAGAAAAGAAATGCAGTTAAGAGATTTCTCAAATATAAATGTATAAGTCACACACTATATATACATATATATATGTATATACATATATATGCGCAAAACCAGACCCCCAAAATTGCTTTTCCCTGCATTCCATTCAGCACATACATAGCTATTGTATGCGTAATGAGCATGAATGAATGCATGAGTAATGTCAAACAATACGACGGATGCCATGTGTTGGGATTTGTTCTCCGACTATAGTACAACACATACTTGCTCACCGTGCTCAGTTTCACACTTAAAAGAATAAATTTGAATGAAATTGTTTTACCTTCACGTCTCGACGCTCGTAATAGTAATCCATTGTTAGATTGATTTGATTATTCATCTTAAAAACTTAATGCGTTTTACAACATTGTCTCACAAGATTGTTTTCACCGCGTTATTTTCACTACAATAAAAACACACAAATTTAGAGACCAAAACACTGCCAAAAAACCAAAATGCCTAAAAAATGGCAATTCACAGCGATTTGCATATGGTTCACATTTCACACACCCCGTTTATTTTCTAGTATGTGTTGTGGTTACTTTGCATATTGGAAACTTGGATGCCAGTTTGTTTTTTTTAGCAACATCATCCGCAACATCATCATCATTTTGATCATTAGCATTACAGCTTCACTTTTCGGGGGGCTACGCTTTTACTGTCGTTTGACGATGACGCTGAAGATGGCCACAAATTTTGCAGTGTGTGTGCGAGTAAAGTGTGCCTGTATGTGTACCAACATATCGTATTTAAAATAGCGTTAACATTTAAAAAGATTTTCACTGACCCCAATTGGTGGGACACACACTCCCCACACTAACACACTAACAAACACACACACACACACACATTTATTTATTGATGCTGCTGTTGCTGTTGATGTTGTTCCTGTTAGATGACATCGTTCCGATGCAGTTGCAGTTGCTGCTGCTGCACTTAGTCTATGCAAATGATTAATCTGACATTAAGACCGCCTGACGACTATAGAACTGTTAAACAGTTAATAAAATTCAAACCTCGCTTCGATATGCTTCGATAGCGCATATTTATAAAAAAGGAAACAATAACAAAAAAAACTACAGGCGGGCGCGATTAATGAACTGTAAAATTGAATTCAATCAGTGGAACGAAACGGAACGGAACGTTGCATAGACAATTAATTTTTCCAAATGTTTTTCTGCCTTGGTTTAACTGTGCTGCAAATTTGGTGAAATTATGAGTGCCCCGCCAGCCCGTTGCAAGGCCCATAGTGCGTTAAACCTAACAGTTTTGCAAAACAATGGGAAAAAGTGAAAGACAAACTGTAAATATGTACAATGTTTTGTTGTCCGATTCAAAGGTAACAACAACAGCAACAGCTCTGGCGATTGTTGTATGTATTCATTGATGTACAAAAGGTGTTTTTTTGTGTTTGATTTCGGCGCACACTCACACACAATGCACTTGGTTTACTCTTTCACATTTTGCGGCACTTTGAAAAGGCCAACAAATTTCACCCAATTATAAACAATGGCAAACACACGCGTTGAGCCCATTTTTGACAATAAAATTATATTTTTAAATTATTTTTGATTTCATTTGCTTTGCATGTGTTGCATTATTTTTAGTTTCTTCCAACTCCGCTTCCAAATATAAATAAAAACTCAGTACACTTGACACTTGGCTGCTGCGCGGCTGGCGACGGCGACGCACTGAAAACGGGCCATGCGCACCTGCGTTGCCTGCGTACTGAAACAAAACTGAACTCAACCTGACATCGAGGCGTCGCTTGCTAGCGGCTTAGACCTCATTCATGCGAGTAGCGCGCTCTTCACTCTCTCGCGCTCAGGTAAGAGAAAGTGAGTGTGAGTGAGTGCGGCTGCAGCTGTTTTTGTTGTTTCCCTTGCCGTATGCGTATTTCTGTCTGTGTGTGCGAAACCGGCTTTTGTATGGCGCTCTCTTCTGCGCCTCCCGCGCTCTCTGTCGCAGCACTCTCTTGTTCGATCGACTTGCAACACTTGCGCTGCAGTTGCCTGCAGCGTGTTTGTCGTGTTTTTTTTTATCTGTCTCACGTTTCAGCCGCGTAGCAGGTTTTTATCGCGAGACGGCGATTGTTGTCTTTGGCCGTTCTCATAACTAACGCAAAATTATATCATAGATCATGCCAATCGCGCATAACCGCCGCAGCACTCAGCGAGAGCACAAAAAGAAAAACAAAAACTGATACACATACAAATGAAGTTATCTAGAGGTAGATCTTAACATTTAACCTGTGTGTGCTTGGCTGAGTGTTTTTTTTTTTGTCGTGCCAAGTTGGACAAGTTCAAGTGCCTACACCACAAGAGGTCAAATGACACTTGGTTATTATAGCAATTACAAAAAAAGTTTACAAAACAATAACTTTTTTAGTGAGAGAGTTATATTTCAGTTGTGGGGTATTAATCTCGCCTTAAGACTCAATTAGTGTAGTTTTAAGACATAACCCGAAAATGCTAGGGTTTAATATGCTTGAAAATGGTTTTTTATATGGATTTAACATTTAAAATAATAATGATTGATGTTGATTAATAATGGAATAATTGCACTACATTTTATACAAAATGGTGAATTGAAGCTATAATATGTAGTTTGAGGTAATAAAGATTTATGATAAACGATATACGAAGTGGAAAAATTGTACCAAGGAAAGATTACCGGACCAATTCGTATTTTTCGCCGTTTTATGTACTTGCTCCAGTGTTGAGATGTTCTTTGAATTTTATGAACAAGGTATATATTTGTCCCCAGTGTTGGCTAATGTATAAAAATCGTACTCGTATGATGCTACACAACACTTTAACATTCGACATTTAAAAATATATGTATGTATATAAATTGTTATAAAAAAAAATATATACATATATATTTATATAAATATGAATATTAAGAGGGGTTTTCATCGGAAAATGTAAATGTATATGATATATATATATATATATATATATATATATATATATGTATCAATATATTTACGATAATTAATTCTTTCCCTTCTTATGCTTACATATTAAGGAAATATTCATTCAGAGGCAGGTTGCCAACTCTATAATGTGAACTTTTGTGTTCAACTCACCTCAGTTGTAACTTGAGCCTGGTTTAGGGGATTTGCTAGTATATCATTGATGTCTGTTTCGTTTTTAGCTTTTGTGGCTATTGTAATTGTAGTTGTTGTTGTTTTCGTAGTTGGCTTCTTAAGCTTTTGGCTTGATTCGTTCGTTTTGGGTTTCGTTTTGGCTTCACTTTGTCTCTTGCCATTTTGCAGTGTCTGCAAATCCTTTCTTAGTTGTCCTATATTACGTTCTTTGGTTTTGATTTCCTCTAGCTGCAATAGCAGAGACACAAGTCAAATACATATTTAACATCAAGACCCAATTCGACAAAGTACATATGTGTATATATATAAAGTATGGGTAGAAAAAAATTAATATGATAAAAAGTTGCCCGTCCGCTTCGACGGCTTGCGAATTGCGTTGGGTTCCTCACATCGACTGTGCGTAACTTACCAAACGTGTTATTTCAATTTTGGCTGACTTTTGTATCTGAGTCAATCGGTTTTCATATGCAGTTTTCAATTGGCGCATATCAGCTGCCTTACGTCTATCAGCCTGCCCAATGATCTGCAAGAAATCATTACGAATATATCTGGTTTGCTTCTTTTCGAAATTGGAACCAAACCTAACAACAACATTATCAAGCATCAAAAACAAAAAAGCGCATTTGGCATGCAGTTAGTTGCACTTAGTCGCATTTCCATTAGCCAAACGAGACATATAAAAAAACAATCCAAACAAAAAACAATATTTGCCGCCTGTCAAATAGGACAAGCATTAATAAAATTAAACCTGTCTATAAAAGCCAGAATGTGCCCAAGTTTCGCACTAGTTCACAATGACAGCTACACTAAACTGGTTGGTTGTTCTACTTTTCCTGAAAACCATTATCCTGCTGAGCGCTGAGAATCAGATTCTTTTGCCATCGGATGACAACGAGGATTCCAATCTTATGGTGGAGGTCAGCAAAATTTTATGTCGTGCCAGTATCAAAGTCCTGTTCGTTTACTTTGAGAATCAGGCAACACATGATCATTCCGGCGAAATATTGCGTGAGGTTACCAAGTGTGACATATCCTATGTATCACTCAGGTGAGTTCTTTTTAGTAGAAGCTCCTTTAAAAACAGTCTGATTTCGTTGTTACAACTTTGGTTGCCATCGACTACAATAACTGGAGGTTCCTGTTTTCCGTAGTTCAGTTGCCTAATGGTTCGAGTTAGACAACTCATAACTGCCTTTACAGGGGTTTCATATGCTTTAATAAATAATAATATGACTTTCCTCTTCTTATAATGAAGGTATAATTCTTCATTTATCCGAGCTATTATTATGTTCGTCAATTTTGGATTTTCTTTGAATAAAAGATTCTTAGAAGCTTTGAAGAACTTTATATATGACGAGATACTCCAATCCTTTGATTTTAATTCAGTATAATCAATCAAAACATGTCTTTAACCACGTTCTCTCTTCATTAGTTTTTAGTTTAGATGGTTGTTCAAAGTCACAACAAAATGTAAAACTTTGTATTCGACTTCCGCTTAAGAAGCTTGTTTAAAATAAAACCGCTGCGTCTTCAGTTTGGCTTTGATTATTTTTTACTTTTATGGTTTTTGTGTTTAACATTTTCGATCAAGTTATTCGAAATCGCAGTACAAAACTTTTGCAAGAACATGACCTTTTAATACTTTGATTATTTATATTTAATCCAAATGCTGAAAAAAGATTGAATTGGGGTTTCTAAGGTTTTGACCTTGATCCAGTTTAAACTGGAAACCCAACTCGAAAACGGATTGTTTTTTGTAAATATGTTAATGTGATAGAACTGGGCCAGTTTTTTTCATATTGAGCAAATCCATTATAAAACAGGTTTTTCTGTAGTTTTTTATTTCCTATATATTTCTTTTTTGCTCCTCAGAAAGGAATTTTTTAATAAAAACTTTTGCTATGAAACAGCTGGAAATGGGCCTACAACAGTTTTTTTTTTACAAAATATTGCCCAAATCCGTGCATTAAGATGCCCAACTTCATTTAATTTTTTTTGCTCCACAGAAAGAAATCCCTTCCGCTGGAGGCAGTCAAAGACGATGGCATATTGATGCACATGGTTATGATAATCAAGGACATCTCACAACCCCTAAAACTATCCCTGATCAATAAAAAATCCGCGGCCAAGCATCTGTCACATGTTATTCTACTCGTGCGGGATGCGGAGAAGCTCTCATTGGGCTGGATGCGTGCCAGTTTCAGGCAGTTCTGGAGCATTTGGCTGCTGAACATAGTCATAATCTTCTGGCGGGATGACCGCTTGCATGTCTATCGCTACAATCCATTTACGAATGATTTTCTGCTGCCGGTGCACGTGACGCCGGGTGAATTACCAACGCTGGCGCAGCTTTTTCCCAAGAAGATACCAAATATGCAACGCAAACCGTTGCGCATGTGCCTCTACATGGACGATGTGCGGGCCATTTATGGACCGCAGGGCAAGATCATGGGCACAGATGGATTGCTCTCCAGCTATATAGCACAGAGCCTGAATGCGACGAGGATTATAACACGCCCGTTGTCATATAGTGAGCACAACCAAAGCCTAGATATATGCGCCAAGGAAATAGCCAATGAGTTCGATGATTTGGCCATGAACATACGCTTCCTGGCGCCGGATACGTTCAAGAAGCGCGCCGAAGCCACCATAGCCCACAACCGGGATGATCTGTGCGTAATTGTTCCCAAGGCCAAGGCAGAGTTATTATTCTGGAACATCTTTCGTTCATTTGGCGGTTGGGTTTGGCTCGCCATTGCCACGTCCATGCTGCTGGCCAATGTCTTTTGCTCTGTGGTGCTCTGTGGCCAGCGACTGGGCTGCACGGCTTTGGAGTTGTTCTCCTGCAGCTTGTCACAGCCTGTGGCGCATATTCCGCGCAATAGTTCCGTCTGCATGTTCCTCATCTTCTGGCTGTACTTTGGCATGCTGATTTGCACCGCGTTTCGAGGCAATTTGACCAGCATGCTGGTCTATCGGAAGTCACAGCCCGACATCAATGATCTGAACACGCTGGCTGCCTCATCATACAAGATACTCATACGAGCGCGTCATATGAGACATATACGTCAATTCTTGAGCAATGGCCATGAGCTTGAGGCCAAGATTAGGCAGCTAATGCTGGAGGTGCCCGACTCGGAGCTGTTTAATTATTTCAATCACAACTATCGATCCTATGCTTATCTGGAGAAATATCACATTGCCTCGTTCCAGGTGAATGCACGCCAGCACATGCTAATGGGCCGACCGTTGTTTCACCTGATGGACAGCTGCCTGGTGCCATTCCACGCGGTATACACTGTGCCCTATGGCTCACCCTATTTGGGCTTTTTCAATCAACTAATTCGTGGTGCACATGAATTTGGTTTCGAGCGTTATTGGGATCGCATTATGAATGCGGCGTTCATTAAGGCCGGCACCAAGGTGCACCACCATCGACGGCACAATAACAGCGATGATCCAGTCGTACTCAAACTGGAGCACTTTCACGCCGTGTTCTTTCTATGGGCCATTGGCTTGGCGCTGGCCTTCTTGATATTCTTATGGGAGTTGCTGCAGAATAACTGGGCCATAACAAAGCGCAAACGCTAGACAACAGCATGCAAACTTTAACATATACATATATAGTACAATAAGCTCTATATACTCAATCTAAATGTATGTATATGTACCTGGGTTTTCTCCTCTTTGGTTTTGTTTGCTTCCTTTAGCACGGCAATTTCATTTGTCAGTCTTTGGATTTCATAGTTGATTAGGCCATCGGCGGCCACATGACTGCTGGCCTCCACGGCCAGCTCGTTGATTTTCTTATTTCCATTTGATTTTTTCGTTGACTCCAGCGTCTGCTGCAGTTTCTTCACTTCGTTGCGCCATTTTCGACTGTCGGCATCGTTTTGCGCTCTGCAAACAAAAATTAGGCGCCACAATTAAAACTATCGATTAAAGAGTAACGGATTAGCAAGTGTTATCGTCAAGTTTGAGTACCTCTGCTAGAATGACACTTTCCAATTTCTATGCAGAAGTGTGTATATGCCGCTTAAGTATATATCGAAAATCTGCAAAATGTCTAAGAGGGTATTAAATCTTCAGCGTTCTTACGAACACTGTTCTTTGCAAGCAGCATGGATTCCTTGCGAAAATATAAATCGGAAAAGCTAGCAAGTGTCATTCCAGTTTTTCACTACTCTTTTTTTATGCACATTTTTGCATATAGCTTAAACCTTTAAGTAGAAATATCGCAAATAGCGATTGTCGTCTCGCCAGCTTGTATATGCACTCTTGCATGCGTGAACAGCATACTTTCTGCGAGTACAACCAAATAAACTCGCAAGTGTCATTCTAGTTCTATATGCTACATACCTTAAGGCGCGCACAGCACCGCGTTCTGTTATCAGACTGGACTTTAGCTTAAAATAGAAAATATATATATTTATATATATGCAAATAAAAACAAACACATGGAATGCAACTAATTATTTAGTTTATTATATATGTACCTCATTCACTTCCAAACGCAGCTGCTCGGCGAGTGCGTTTAGCTTTTGTATTGTGTCCAGATTCTCTTGAAGCTTGCGCTTAAAGCGCTGTGGTGCGGCTGAAAGCACATTTACGCCGCCAATAATAACGGGTCTTTCGACTTTGTTGGGCTGCCTGACTGGGTCTTTTGCCGCAGGCGAGTTGGCAGCCTCGTCTGTGCCGTTATTGTTCTTGTAACGGCATTTTATATTCAAATTAATGCCCTCGATGCGTGTGCGTTTCTCCTGATTGACGGCATCCCCAACGGATGTGAGCGATGCGCTCAGCTTTTTCTTACGTTTCAATTTATTTTTGCCTAAGTCTAGCTTTCGCCAGTCTTCATGGAAGCTCTGTTTTTCATTGGAGTCCCGTTCTTGCTCCAATTTACGCACTGCCCCATTGTGGGGCAACAAGATGTGTGCGTTTCTCTCATTGAACCCTTTGCTAGAGGTCGTTTTTATTTGATTTTCAGCCATTTTTTTATGTGAGAACCTTACACAGATATCGTGTTTGCGGTTAACATTTATAAAAAATATAGCCGTCGTTTATTTTTTGGTTATTTTTTAAATATATGTATATGCTGCATATGCGGTGTGGTCCGACCTAAGCGAAAGTCTCGTTATATTTTACTCTGTTCATTGGAAGTTATATGGATCAATTTCGCTGCCGCTGAGTTTCATTTAGGATTTTCCTGTAAGAGAATTGAAAAAATACTTGAAAAACTAAAGTCTGTAAAGCTTTTGAAGCATTTGACAGGTTTCCTCAACACTCGTTTACTTCTAAGACCTTTTGTTGTTTGTTTGTTTGGTTTTGCTATTCTATCAACAAGTTTAGCCCACTTTTATTGATTTATACAGCAAGTGCTTGCCACAATATGTGGCACACATGCAAGTGCAATTCATCAGAATATAAATATAGTCTAGTTAGCGTTACAAAGTAAGTTTTCACTATATCTAAAATGACGTCAAGCCGCGCGCCTTATAACATGATACAGCACCCCCTGTGGGCCGGCTGTACCACGCATGAAAATTGTACTTTATGATGGGCAAACGGAACACATAAAATTCTTTACATTGTTCACGCATCCGCTTAATGCTAACAATACAGAGATATAGTATATAAATATATTCACTATATATATAGCATATTGAGAGCGGTACAGCCGTTATTACGAGCTCATAGAGCCCACGTTCTCAAAAAAAATTAAACGATCATCTTTATCAAGGCCGTGGATCTACGTACGCAGGCTGTATGCACTCTCGTTTGCTCTGAATATATAATAAATATATTTAAGAGTCCGATGATAGCAACCTGCTGTCCGAATGCGTTGAATGACATTTTAAATTTTGCTTAAGTAGATTATGATTGAAGAGTAAATTTATTGGGCTCATGTTGCACATTTAATTAAATTAAAAATGTTTGGACCCCAAATGCTACTAAATGAATAAAGTGTTATTTGGGCTGAAACACGACATGGTGACATCACATGAAAGGCAAGTCAGGCCGCCCACTACAGCTCCAACCACAGACAAAAAAGAGTACTCTGATCGAGTATGCGCGGCTAGGATATACCCAGTAACCAACTCCTAGCTGCATTCTTCAATTACTTCTGTATTCAGAGTCTGATCTTAATGACATCTAACTTAATTGGCCTGTTTCTTTTATGTGTTCCTACTGTGTTACTGTGTTAATTTCTTAATAAAGGGGTTAATCGAAGAGGTTTCAAAACAGAAATAGTTATTCTAAAACGGTATACACTATAGGACAAAATTCAAACCAAAAATTCAGATAATCTCAAGTGGAATAAAATAAACATGCCATTATACCCGTTTTATGGGAGCAGGGTATACAAAATATTGCGGCATATACGCTGCAAATTTGCACAATTTTAAACAAACTTTTCAGTCCAACATGAACAGATGAGTATACAAAAGAAAATATTTCGAAATGATGAGTCGTTAAAAAATACATATATCTATAGATTGTTCAAATGCTGATTCATTCAAGATGGTACAAATGTATACGCACCATTAACATTAAAAACCTTGGATATATTAACTAGAACAAAGTTTGGCTGGCGTCGTAATTAACATGAGAAATTTCTTGCTCTCACTCCACACAAGTTTCGTAATAAAAACAAATGTTTATTTACTTGTCGGTCTTGTTTCTCGCAGTGTATTTCGCAATGACGTCAATCTGTATACTAATGTTACTTTTAGTATAGAACGTGGCGCGTACTAAGTAAAAATATTCTCTTCAAAATTTTTCAGTGCACATCTACAATAGTTGCTTCAATAAATCATTTTTCATTTAACACTTGGAAATCCTTTTACACTTTTACACAATTCGTTGTGGTTTTCGAGTCGTCACAGGTAGCTATCAATATTACTTTAATTTCAATAATATATATTTCAGCTGATGCTTAGATTCTTTCGAATATCTAGTACTATTATATTTGTTAATTAATTTATCAATTTATTAATAATAAAAACTCTCTATTCTAGTTTCGTTTTGCTTAGCGGTTGCGGAGATCTTTCGTTTCGGTCGGACACCGATTGACTAACCCGACGACACGAGCTTTTCTGTGCTTTTCACATTTCATTCCATTTAATTAAGAAAAGCTTTGGCATTTATTGTGCATGTGTGTGTGGCTACGTGTGTGTGTGGGTTGGGGTCAATTGCCGCCTGAGGGGTGTTAAAGCTTTCGCCAGACCAAAGAAATTTTGACCGGGAACAGGCGCTCCCGGAAGCGGCAAATTGTTTGAATCTTAAGCATTTGTTTTGACTGCATGCATAACAATAACAAATGCGAGTGTGCTCGACTGAGCGATACCCTGTACCGGTACCGACCTTCACAATATGCATTCACAGATACACTTTAGCACACACGCAGCATATTGCGTATTTTAGACAGCAGCTGTGCTTCTTCCTCACCATGTATTAAAATGTTAAATGGTATAAATGCTACTAAACAAGCATAGTTGTTTTATTCTATATTTATCGGTTAATAATTTAAATCATAAGACTTGTACTGTGTTATACGCTATTCGATGCCCAATGGTCGGAAAGACATGGCTAAATCAACTCTCGCCGGCCTGATCAAGTATATTTTCACCTTATGAGATCGGGAATGCATACTTCACTCTGTTACGTATATATTTGAACAACGTCATTGCACTCTTTCTTAAGCATTTTCCATGGGTATAGGGTATTATAAAATTATTGGGGGCCGCCAGCAGCTGGAGCTTTACAAATGACACATAAATTTTTGACAACGACTTAACGACATGTTGAATGATGAACACAATTAGGACAGCCAGATTTTACATAAATAGTTCAGTATGTGTATGAAATCTTGAGATCTAAACATAGAACTCTATGCAAGCGATAATTATACCGCCATACTTACTCCTTAAATGCAATTATATTTCGTTATCCACGTTCCCATACAGTTACGGTTTCGTAATCATTTGAATTTGCAAACTCACTTGACATATTTCTTTAGCGACGTTGTCTTCGACATAGTAAGCGTTAAGCAACTAAAATTCCAATTCCATTTACCGAATTAGATTTAGGTGAAAACTATTTGAACATAGTTGATAATTGAATTGGCTTTTAAAATAGCTCCTCTGCTCAAAACGAACAACTCACTCAAGTTGAGCGGTCGGAACAAACTAAAAACACGCAACACATTCTAAAATGGAATATGTTGTGTCCAACGACGAATGGAAGATCGCCAAATTTATATAAATAGCTAGAAAAAACGCTTCTATATTTGAAGTTTGTATAAAAGGGGACAATTACAGAAATGCTTTCCACACTAGTTATTTATAAAAAGATATTAAATATTCTTCTGGTCTTAGCGTTGAACTCTATTGACAAAGTTTTACTTGATATAAAAAGCTTATTTCAAAAATAAAATAATTTTGTAACGGCTACATTAAAATCAACATGGCAGCTGGGCAATGCACACGTCACATATTAGCACTCGATTAACAACTATCGGTCATAATACTTGCGATTAAAAATAATTTGCTGCTCTAATTGAGTTTAATCGATATAAAAAGTTGCAGCCCTGCCTTAATATCGATACTTTAATCGATAGCACGCATCTCTGCCGCTTACTCATTGCGGAAAACGTGAAAGAAAATCATATTGCCGCCTGTCTGCTACCAAAATTGATTGTTTTAACAAATATAAACGTAAAACGGCAAAGTCCATCAATTAAATATGGTTAGTAGACATGTAAATTATTGGCTGAAAGGCAAATATTAAACATATTACTATTAATTTAAGTAAATCATATAAGGAAATTAAATGCCATGTGCGCCGCGTTATTAGAATTTTCGTTTTTAGTTTTAAAATAAGTGTAACTACTTAAATAGTACTTGCAACAAGTATTTGTTGAACTGCATTTGAATGCAATTGTGCATCATGCGGCACACGAAACATAACCTTCAAAGAAGCTTCTCGCAAAACTGAGAATACCTCGGTGCCCCCTCACCCGCTCGAACTGTCAATTGGTCGAACGGCTGACTAATTTTGTGTTACCTTTTTGTTTGGTTCTATAGCAGCCACAAATTGTGCTCCTGAAGGAAGGCACCGACACTTCGCAGGGCAAGCCGCAGCTGATATCGAATATCAATGCCTGTCAATCGATTGTGGACGCTGTGCGCACCACTTTGGGGCCGCGCGGCATGGATAAACTGATTGTGAATGCACAGGGAAAAGCGACCATATCAAATGATGGCGCCACCATCATGAAATTGCTGGATATTGTGCATCCCGCGGCAAAAACATTGGTAGACATTGCCAAGTCACAGGACGCTGAGGTAAGACTCAAGTCTAAATATTGATTTGGGCACGTGACTAAATTATCATTCAACAGGTGGGCGATGGCACCACATCGGTTGTGCTGCTGGCTGGTGAGTTCCTCAAACAAGTCAAACCCTTTGTTGAGGAGGGCGTTCATCCGCGTATTGTGATCAAGGCCATACGCAAGGCGCTGCAGCTGTGCATGGAGAAGATCAATGAAATGGCCGTGCGCATTGAGAAGCAATCGAAGGAGGAGCAGCGTGCTCTTCTGGAGAAATGTGCCGCCACGGCCATGTCTTCGAAGCTTATACATCAGCAAAAGGATTTCTTTGCCAAAATCGTTGTGGATGCTGTGCTTTCGCTGGATGAGTTACTGCCATTGAATATGATTGGCATCAAAAAGGTGGCCGGCGGATCGCTAGAGGAATCCCAGTTGGTTTCAGGGGTAGCCTTTAAGAAAACCTTCTCTTATGCTGGCTTTGAGATGGCTCCCAAATCATATGAGAACTGCAAAATTGCTTTGCTCAACATCGAACTGGAACTGAAGGCCGAGCGTGACAATGCCGAGATTCGCGTGGATAATGTCAAAGAGTATCAGAAGGTTGTTGATGCCGAATGGCAGATATTGTACAATAAATTGGCCAAAATCCATGAATCTGGCGCCAATGTGGTGCTTTCCAAGCTGCCAATTGGTGATGTGGCCACACAGTATTTCGCCGATCGCAACATGTTCTGCGCTGGCCGTGTGCCCGAGGAGGATCTCAAGCGTACAATGAAGGCCTGCGGCGGTGCCGTCATGACCACGGCGAATGACATCAAAGCCAATGTTCTCGGTCTGTGCGAGCGTTTTGAGGAACGTCAAGTGGGCGGCGATCGTTTCAACCTATTCCAAGGTGCGTACTAATAACTATATAAGACATGATTGTCCTAATCTAATTATATTTCAAAAACAGGATGTCCCAATGCCAAGACCAGCACTCTGATTCTACGTGGTGGCGCCGAGCAGTTCCTAGAGGAGACGGAGCGCTCACTGCATGATGCCATTATGATTGTGCGTCGCACCATTAAACACGATTCGGTTGTTGCCGGCGGCGGCGCCATCGAAATGGAACTATCCAAGGTGCTGCGCGATTATTCACGCACCATTGCCGGCAAGGAGCAGCTGCTGATTGCTGCCATTGCCAAAGGCTTGGAGATTATTCCGCGTCAGCTGTGTGACAATGCTGGGTTCGATGCGACCAACATTCTCAACAAGCTGCGCCAGAAACATGCCCAAGGTAAGTGAGATACTCTTCTATAGCTGCACCCATTTGATTAGGAGGGTTTTGCTAAATTCCACACACAAAAGTGGAAAACATGTGAGGCTGTTGCTTAAAAAGTTTTGTTTTTCTTTGGGCCAACTTTAAACTTATATTTAAAAATCTCATGGATCACAGATTAATTTGGAACCTGTGAAATATGGAACTCTATTGTCCAAAAATTCTTTAATGCGTACGCCCTCAAGTTCAATTTCCAAACTCAACATATATATTTCAAAATATCTAGCCACGAGAACATTGTATTTTCATAGCTTATAGAAGCTATGATACTTTCTAAAGAAATGAGGCATCTTCAAACCCTTTAAGTATATATAGTCACGATCACGATGTTTCGCTAATAGCCACGTCCGCCTGTCTATCTATCTTGCTTATGCTTATGTTTTTGTTTTCGATCCTTCTGCCATACTAATTTATCGTATCATACATGATTTTATAGAATCAATTAGTTCATTTTATTTTTCATTTCGATTTATATTCATTGTGAAATTGTTGCGCTCTGCTGCTGTAGAAGCTCGTGCCACAAGCGAAAGCATGGATTTAGACAGAGACCCGGCGTATCCGGGCAGAGGTTGCACATGTATTTGGTAAACTGCAACATGCCGCCCTTGTGGCAATGGCGACAATTCTTGCGCGTCGGCTTGCCATTTCTCTGAATGAGCACCAGTTCGTGTTTGAGTTGCGCAACTTCAGCCTGGGGGGCAGCTCGATGGGATGTGGTACGCTTGGCGTGTTGCTCTGCTCGCTTGCTGTTAACTGGTGTAGCTGGTGATGTCTCCGTTGCTGGCGCAGCAGCTGGAGTCGCGTTATCCTCCTTGAGAAGCGACTTAATGATGGCCACGCGAAACTCCGCGTATGTCTTCAATTTGGTGGCATCGTTGGCACCGGTGTAGCCACGCGTGGGCTGCGCACTGCTCACATAGAGCACATGGGCATTAAAGACCAGCAGATTGAGCAAAAAGATGGCCAACTGTTGCTGCCGCTGCAAACCCGCACAACTGGGCTGGCAGGTGATCAGCTGCTGGCGGGTAGACTGCGCGGGTCGCAGCTGAAAGTCCAGCTCCTGAATGAGCTTCGGTCGTGCATTTATCTTCTGCATGGACATTTCCTTAGCATAGATGGCCAAGCAGTCGGAGCTGTAGAAATACACGCACTTCTCGCGCCGCCTCCATTTGGCCATCATCAGAGGCGTGGCATATCTGGTCGCTATGCTGTTCGCTGACAACTGTTGATAGACCAGGGCCTTGCTGTTGCCATAGCGATTTCTGTCCAGCAGCCCGCTGCAGTAGGTGCCCAACTTGGCCAGCTCATGCGCCAGCCCGTAGCTTCCATAATATTTGCACACGTAGACGCTATGTCCGCGCTGCTCATGTGCCTGAAGCAGCTGCAGCGCCAGCTTGCAGCGCTGTGCCACCAGCTGCCTGGAGTTGCGTGCCACATGCTGCTGCTGCTCCACTAACTCGGGAAGCAAGCGTATGATCAGTCCACTGTGCTCGCTGAGCAAGTGCAGCATTAGCGCGTTGCTTCGTTGTTTCGCCGGCAGCTCGTTGTAGTAGCTAAATTTACCCTTCCATTGGACGATAGGCTCATTGAGCACCAGCTGCTGCCCGCACGTGTACAGCTCCGACATGCGCGCATTGTAAAAGCTCAACAATTTGCCCGCATTGCCTGCGGCTTTGCATGCATTTGCAGCGGTTCCTGCTCCTTGTAGCTCCTCAAAGCTGAGCGCGTGCAGCAGGTCAATAAAACGCTGCTGTGACATTTTTGCAGCAAATCCCGTAAATCCTTGAAATGTGTGCTCGCACCAATAGTCGCTCAGCTGAGGCAGCTTCATGTCACACAACAGCAGGCACAGGCCCACAAATGTTTCCAGCTCCTCGGAGCTGGCTTTTAACGACCCATTCCGTCCGTTGCAGCCACGTGCGAGCTGTCCGAAAAAGTCGGCACGATTGCCCAGCAATTGATTAAAGTAATACAAAGGGCAGATCAATTTGCGCAGCGCTTTCAGACCCGTTTGTCCTGGGGGCGTATTGAATTTAAATATCAGCCGGGGTGTTGTCTGTTGCGCTGTCCACTCCGGATCATAGTCATCCACTTCATCTAAAGCAAAGAGAACTTGACCATGATAGTTATATGAGGTGGATAGTTCTATACCCTTGCAGAGTATAATTTAACTTTTTCATTCATATATACATATATATCTTATGACTGCCATAGAAACTATCAGTTTTGTATGAAAAGTTTGAAGCATTTTGAGCATAGAAATTCATAGTGCGCATCTGCTCTATGTCGTCTGCAAGGGTATTCAATATTCGGCAACCCGAAGATAACTGTTTTTGTTTTATGTACACTTTACCCTCGCAATACACATCGTGTGCTGCAGAAAAATTAATTTCCGAATAGCCATCCTCGTCCGAATCGCTTTGTTGTTCCAACTCCGGTTTTGTATCCTCGACCGGCGGTGTCGCTGCTATTGTCACATCCTTTTGCGTTGCCACCGCCAGCTGCAGCTGGAGTTCGGTCAGATCGGGTTTTATATCCACACAATCGTAGTCAGCCAGGGGATAGCTGCTGGCCAGCAGCGGTTCCGTTTTTACATCCAAACTTTGACGCTTTACCGGCGAACGGTGCACATCCTGACGCGGTTTTAGCTGCTGTTTGCGTTTACGTCCTGATGTAGACATTTTTTACATCGATTTTAATTTACTTTCTATATTAAATTCTTTTCTGTTCAGAATTTTCTGCTGGAACTAAAGTTTCTTTCGGCTAGCGCGTGTTTGTCTTGGCAGCTCTTTCGTTCGGCAGCTGTTGAGCATAGTGTGTGCTCTTTCGCACCAACTGCCAACCAGTGTGTGCTCTTTCGCACCAATTGCCATAGTCTGCATATTTGCTGCCTTGTCTTGCGCGCGGGCATTATTACAACAGAGTTGCCAACGCGTCGGAAATTGTAGTTGCTCGCTAGAGATGAGCGCGCCAAGCAAAACATTATTTTACCAATTTATATTTGCGATATATTTCTGAAGCTGAAGTATATATATTTATTTTTATTTTATATTAAATTTATATTTTTTAGTATTAATATCAACAACGTTATTAATAATGAATCATTTAATTAAAGGTGGCCAATGGTTTGGCGTTGACATCACCAAGGAGGACATTTCCGATAACTTTGAGCAGTGCGTGTGGGAGCCATCGATAATTAAAATAAATGCACTCACCGCTGCCGCAGAGGCCGCTTGCATGATTCTGTCTGTGGATGAGACAATAAAGAGCCCGAAGGCCGGCGAGCCGCCCATGGCTGGTGGCGGCATGGGTATGGGTCGTGGTATGGGCAGGCCCATGTAAAATAAAAAATACACTTAAAAAAAAAACCGTTAAAAACAACACAACACTAAACATTAACAACAACACACACTCAATGCGTTTCGCAAACATTCACTTGCATTTCTCTCGCTTAACTTAACACAATTTCACATGTATTACTGGTCATAAAACGCAGGCTTCTTTTGTTGCACCTATTAAACAATTTATATTATAACTGACCTATGTCTAATAAACAAAAAGGAAACATTATCGCACGGACTTTTATTAATCGTAAGTCAACAGGTTGCTGAATCTCCAGTTTTTCATGTGTTTATGTGTTTCGTGTCTGGTTTATCAATGATGCAAATGATCTTAGGAGCAAAGGCTCATGAGATCATGAAAACACAAATAGTCACAATCGTCTTTAAACCCATCCGTAAATAGGAAGTTGAATGAAATACTAGGGTAAGTTGTTAAGTTTTCATTCCTGATGCATAAAATACAAAGAATAATTATAAATAATCAAGTCAATATACCCAAATAAAGGAAAATCTCTGTTCGCTTACGCTTATTTTTAACATTGTCATCTGATATATACATGGTAAGTATATAAGGCGCATAAAACATTTTTACTTCAACCATCTGGCAACTCTCGTAGCGACTGTCGTGCGCTTTGCTAGCGTTTTCGTACGCGTCTTTCATTTAGTTCTTAGCTGTTTTTGTAGCCAGCACGTTGCTAGCGCGCGCATTTTTACATACACACACACACACATGCACAAGCAACCAACCGTATTAACAAGCCAAATATTGTTTTGCGATGGGCAACCACAAAGTGTTGAAAACCGCTGGCATTAATCTTAGGTATTCCATGTATGATTTTATTGATGCTGTGAAAAAACATCACATCATTTGGGATCGAGAGCATGAAAATTTTCACAATCGCGAACTGCGCGATCAGGCCTGGCAGCAAATTGGCCAACAGCTGTGCAAGAATTTTGAAGTGGCCAGCGGCGCGGAAAAGCAAGAAATTGGCAAGTTATGCATAGGCACTTCTGCCAGTGCTGGGCAACAATGTAATATGTATTTGTTTACATTTTAATCTCTTTTGCAGCAAAAACGCTGCTAAAACGCTGGAAAAACACGCGCGATAGCTACTTACGCGTGAATCGACTGCGTCAGAGCGGTGAAGAGGTCTGCCGCGCCTCCTACATCTACGAAAAGGAGCTGAGCTTTCTGTTAGATGTCAAAACGGAGGACGAGGAGGCGCTAAAGGAGGACCAAAAAAAACGCAAGCAATTTCGCATTCTAAGAACGCCAAATAAGCGGCGGCGTGCATCAGAGAACCCTGGCACAACGCAGGATAATGAGGCGACATTAGCTGTCGATGGCCTGCACTCGGTGCTGGATACTTTAAATTACACAACAGATACATCAACGCCTGCAGCTAAAAGCGAAACAAGCAGCTCCTACGCTATAGAACACAACTGCGCAAATAGCTCAGCTGCACATCCTGTAGCCGCAGTAGCTGTTGATCCTGATCCCGATCAGGCATTTTTTGATAGCATTAAGCCTCATATGCAGCGCATGAGCAGCGATCAAAAACTGGAGTTTCAAATCGAAGTGCTAAAAATTCTTCGCCACTTTAAGCCAAATTGAAAGATCACAATTTGATATAAAGTTACAATATAAAGTTTTAAGTTTAGCAATAAATAAATAAAAATATTTCCTAAATATATATATGATTCCATTTATTAAACACAAAACTGAATAGCAACGAAAGAGCTTCTTTTTAAACGTTGTACGCGGCTTTTTACGTCGGTAACTATCGTATGGAGAAATCAAATCAGAAATCAGCTTTTCTTATGATCAACCATTCATCACTAATGCAAAACTCTCAGGATTTTATCTTCAAGTCCTAGCTTTCGGTCCCAGATTTTTAACCAATGATGAACTCATACATTTTTGCTTTTGAAAATGATTCCAAACGTATTTTTTTTAAATTTTTTACCCATAACTGATTTAAAAAATTACGTTTGGCACTTGCCAAGCAATATTCCGGCCCGAAATGGCAAACAACACGAGCACTACAAAGTCGTGCAGCAGCTGTTGCTGTAGTGTGCGATACTTGTTATCGATTTATGCTGTTATTAACAGGGATCGTTGCTTATGAATTTATCTTTAATTAACTGTAAGAAAAAGTAAATAAATTACTTTCAATAAAAATACGAGGAGGATGTTTAATTTTGCTAAACTTATTTAGTGTGCCAAGCTAGCTTGGCCTTTAACTTTTGTCAATTCAAATAGCGACTAGAGTATGCATTAAAATTTAATGTATGTATTAAAATTTAAAATAAACGCCGCTTTAAACAAATTAAATACGAACCGTTGGTAGTGCTCTAGCCAGAAGTGTCTGACTAGCGGATACCCTAACCTATTTCTACTATCACCAAATGCAGTTTGCGCTAAGCGCAAAAAATAGTATTTCGATATTGGTTATTATCGACTGCTAGGAAACGGGTTAAGTTATCAATGATTATAACTAGGAGGACCTACGTTCAAATTGTCAAGTCACTCGCTGTTACAGGTTTTGAGATCATTTTTACCCATTTTCAATGGGCTTAGAGTTTAGAAACACGATAAGTGACGATAAATGAACTCGACAGAACAAATCGAATGATAGTTATCGTTCTATGCACACGACCATATTTAATAAAACCGATATTTTTAAATATTTGCGGTCCTTCATAACGGAATGGATTTACATGGATAAGCATTTTTGGTAGGCAAATGTTCGCTGCCATAAGTTTTGTAAATCTCATCCGATCTCCAAACAGAAAGAAAAATCAGACGGATCAGGCCAGAAAGATACATTTAATGCTTGTTAATGCTTGTTGAAATCTATGAATAAATAACAAAATGAAATCTATGAATAAATAAGTTCAAGAACTTCTAACTAACAGGCCAAAAACCATTTTCATTAATGAACTTAATTTTTAGACGATCGTTCCAATGGCAGCTTTATGATATAGTGTCCATTTTAAACAAGATTACTATATTTTAAGGATAAATGACAAATACGGCCAAGATAATTTGAAAAAAAACGAAAATTTTTGTACCAGACGCCAGTTTGCGCTTTTGACTGAACTTTATCATACAAATAAAAAAGGCAGCCGTATACGTACATACATATGTATGTACATATGTAGTCCAAAGCGGTTCGATCAGTTTTGGCTTATAAGAAGACATAAACCTGTATTTGACTCATACATACATTGCCCAATCGGGTTACTTATGTATGTACATATGTACATGTATAAGCGTTCAGCAGGACTTGTTTATACCAGTACGTACATACATACATACATATGCAGCAACATAAAAATGAGTATATACTTCGTGCATGGTAGCTGTTATTATTGACAGCATTATTGAGCGTTAAGGGAAACTACGAACACACACACAAGTACACAAAATGTGTAAGTGATTGAGTATCACATATTTGAGATAAGGGTCTATCCATATACATATGTATGTACATACATATGTAAATATGTATTCATATCCATAAGTGTTGGCAATTCCACATTTTGCCATCAGATCTAGCTTGTGGATTGCGCGAACTGCGGGAATTCCTCACTTATTTTTATATTTGTTACACAATTTGTAATAAAATAGATATGTTTATAGTGAGATTGGGCTATTAGTGCACGTATAATATAAACAAATGCAGAAACAATTACTTAACTTAAGTTGATTAAATAACAAAACAAAAGAAGAAACATAAACTATATGTTTTTCTATACCAATTATCTAATATAAAAAAAAAGTTGAGATCAACCGATTTTTTAGCCGCTTTTACGTTGATCCTAAAGCTAGCGTATATTTTAGGTTAACAGCTCTGATATACAGAGGCATATATGCATGTACATATGTGTATGTATACACACATATCTGTATACATATGTGTGAGGTTATCGAAGTGGTCTCAGGTTTCGGGAATTTCAGAACAGAGGGATGAAGAGAGGACCTATTGCGCCGTCTGTTCTGGTGGTGCACATTAGCAACGGGTCTGGCAGCTGTTCGGGGCACTTTATGCGTCGTTGCCTTTGTCTACGGCTACCTGAAATCCTCCACTCATAACGTAGTCCCAGCGTGCGTAACGCATTATCTAAAGACCGGCCCAGGGGAGATTTCGGTCAGATGAATGTCTCTCTGGCTTGTACCTGTAGCAATGGCGTGCATTGCAGTGGAACACCAAAATGCAACGACAGGAAGTCCCTTCGAGGCATTTATTTTTTCTGAATGCCACCTTTACTTATTGTTTCACTTAATAGGAGCCGGCTTTTCCTCGGCTCTTTAGATTCTATAGATTGAACTTAAACACGATTATATAGAACAGTTAAAGTTAGTCTAAATTTGTATATACCCTTGCAGAGAAGGCTGTTATCATTTTGCTATTTTTATTTTATTTTATATATTCCGGCATATATTTTCTAGGCAAACAGGTTATTCAGATTTAAAACTTTATTGATGAAACATTGCTTAGTTCTATATTTCAGCTGCACGCAGGACATATGCTCAAGTCGGCTGGATCGGAAAACTATATCATTTTGCTGACATAGAATAAGTCCATCGAATACAGAGAAACAACAAACTCGGCATTTATGGAATTTTTTATGCTTTTAACATAAAAGCAAAAAATTTTATTATCATCGGACGACTATATCGTAGAGGTCCAATAGGAATTAACGTTTCGAAGTCATATTTTCTGACTTGCTTGAAAGCTCTATTTCTGCAAGGGTATTTCAACTTCGGCACACCGAAGAGGATTGTTTTATCTTTAGGGATATTTTTGGGCTCAGCTCTCTGACAGGACGACCTGTGTGCTTTTATATCTTGTCCAAGCCGCATCCGCCCGCTGCAGATACTCGGCGACTTCTTGATTCTTGGCCAACAACTGGTGTTTCTCCAGCGCCAACTTGAGCAGTACGAATTCCAGGGTGCGCACACCACCTGTTCTGCTCGGCAATTGCAGGGTATCCACCAGCGTGATGTACTTGCGCAGCTGCTCCACATGCTGGCCAAAATGACCATTCTCCAGGCTGGCATCCACATCGTTGACATAACGCAGGGTCTGCTTGAGGCGTGCGGCCAGTTCATTGCTGCGTCCCACCAGGGGCGACAGCTCCACATTGAGCTGTTGCACCACACGCTTTGTGTCCATTAAAAGCTCCACTGCTACCTCGTTGTATTGGTCCTGCTCAGACCAGGCAGTGGTCGGCCCCGGCTCATTGTCCTGGATCGACACCAGATTATGATTCACCAAGATGGTTTTATTAATCGTTTCCGAAGAGTTTTCGGGCTGTTTCACATTGAAATCCAGCGAAAAGTGAAACACAACATTTGCCTAAGGTTCAATGGATAATAAGGCACATATGACAAGGTGCTACCAACTAGGATTAGCCACACTTACCTGGCATCGTTCCAGGGCGCCAATGCTAAGGATTAGCCAAGAGGCAATTGTGATTGCTCGAGACATCTTGCAACGTAGCTTGAAACAGTTCTACTGGAATCTCAAGTTCGATGCGCGACTGATCAGACCATTCAGTTGGGCTTATCGCGCTACCCACAGAGAGTTCAATTGAACTGATAATAGATTTTTACTACTGAATGAATGTCAATTCTCGACGGCTGTCGATCTCTGTCAGACGATGCCCAAGTCACGTGGATGGCGTTCGTACGCGAATTTCAAAAAACTATGAAATTTGCTATCGTTCTATCGCTGTGGGAAACTAAATCGCTAAAAATGCGAATGAAGTTGGCATTACTCATACCTCTAAAATTAAATACAAATTATTTAAGCATTTGTTTTTAGATACATGTATATTAAGAAATGGTAAAAAAAAAAAGATTAATCTTAATTAATTAATTAATTAAAAAAAGACATAGTTTCTATACCGGCTACTTATCTATATGATACTATCGGGTATTACCCAGCCTTGCCCGTGGAACGTTTTGTGCTAAAAGTTTTAGATATTACCTTTTCACTAAGGACACACCCGTGGAAAATTGAAATCTACCTATCTTGATCTCCACTTCTATTTAAAAATATATTTAAGTACATCGGAAAAAGAACAAAGTGTTGGAATCACCGTTTTCCGCCCATGAGAATCGTGAAGCTGAAAAACAAACTTTCGTTCGCATTTGCCACCCAAGAACGTATCAAATAAATTCTCACAAAGATCTTTGAAAATGATTTTGAAGCTGATCGGATGGTTATCAAAAAACTATCATACAACCGTTTTTCGCTAATTAACCAGTGTTGTGGATGGAATTTCCCAAACCGTTGAAACACGTATTCATTACGTTCTTATGTAGAGCTTTGAGCTTCAAGTTTGAAGGAAATCGAACACAACTTATAACTTCACCAAAAATATTTTAGGAAGCTTGGATACTACGAAAAGACTCAAATGATTTTTCGTTCCTTGGAATAAATTTGAACACGAAACTTCGCCAAATCTTTGACCGCCATTTCCACCAAGCAGGAAAGCATTTTTAGAAAAGTGTGAAACACCCTTCAAATGAATTTGAACAAAGACCTTTGAGGCCAATCGGTGGTAAACAAATACTATTTTCGCGATTTTTTCACACATGCGGGTGGAATTTCCCGAAACCCCGTCTTAACGTGCACCTACATACATCACATAAGGTAACTACAGTGAAAATTTCAGCTTGGTTTGGACTGTGCGTTGATCACCAATCAATCAGCCAGGACAAACAGTTTTATATATAGAGATAATGGCGCTATCCAACCTACTTCCACTAATGTACATCCATGTGAACTGCCTGCAGCTAAGACACAGATACCCAAAGGGGCGTTGAATCTGACAGCCGGACATGGCTATATCAACTCGTTTGTCGATGCTGATCAAGAATATATATATATTAATATATATGGATAAACAAAAATTCTAATATCCTTCGAAGTCATAATAAAATATAAATGTATAATATTTTGTACAGTATCATTTTTATATTTGCCATATATAATATTAAGCTAGCATGTTTTAATAAAAATAGGTTTCCGATACGAAATTGAAGTTAAACGTAGACTTTAGCCTACCACTGTATCTGATAACAACTAACAGTCTCTATTTGGATGTCCCGCAATGTGCTGTGTATATATGTAAAAATAAAAACATATGCATATGTATGTATGTGTGTGTTTAAAGCTTTTGTTTTGAATATAAGAATCACATCAAAACGTGAGTAAAACTGTAAAAGCATTTTATAAATGTTTCGCTATTTACCTATGTATCTACATTTGAATGTATGTATATTGTACTTGCATTTGTACACATGTACATACATACTTATATCACAAGCACACATACAATACATGTACATACATATATATATATATATGTATGTATATATGAATATAAATATGTACATATGTATATGGTTTTTTCAATACGATTATGGTGTTTTGATTAGGCTTGCCGCAAGTCACGTATGCCTCCAGAAGTCTTCGTACTTAATATAGTAACACCAAATTAAACTATGGCCCAGCAATAGAAATAAACATATGTACATACATACATACATATGTACATACATCTAAATAAATAAATACCTATAGGATATTGAATCCATTTGCGTGTAGTTTTAAATTCATTTAGCATTTAATAAATTTGAATTAAAATTTAACTCAGTGTGTCTTGTATCTGTTAATGTTTATTAGTTTGAGTTTTGATTAGTCTGACTTTTAAAGTAGGTATGCATGTACATAAATATGTAGTCTGCAGATACGTTAAAGTGTGCAATAAAACAAAAGAACGAACATTCAAATATATGTACATACATGCGTATGTGTGCATATGAATGTTTGCAACGATAAGGCTTTCTATGTCCAAGCTATGTACATTAATATGCACATACATATGTACATATGTATGTATGTACATTGCTATAAACAACTGCGCACTCATACACTTACACACATATGTACATACATACATATATGCATTTGCATCAATCAGCGTCGCCGGCTGCGACGTCAGCAACACAGTAAACGCCATTTGAAGCGAAAAGTAAAAATAACAAACAAAACACAAATGAAAAAAATACAGCAACGGGCAAATCAATAGTAGAAATTGCGCAGCAAAAATAAATTATTCCATAGCTTTAAAAAGCCGTTGGCATACGCGCCTACAAACAAATATACGCATAAACAAAAATACACACAAACATATGTGGGTATATGTATTTGTGTCCAAAATTTATTTTTATATTTTTCAGCATTTACGTATGGCGCACAACAACTACAAACATACATACATACACTCGCATGTATAATATGTACATACATATGTACATATGTGATTATTGCCGGAGCGTCAGAGGCCAACGCACAAAGCTTGTAAAAATAAGCGACGTCTATGTCGAGTATTTGTGCACGCGTGTAGGGGTATATTAATGCTTATACATACATATACGCACTTATGAAAAGACGCATGTACATACGTACATATGTATGTATATTTTGAAGGTATTTATTTTTGTAAGTGCGTATGCCTTTATGTATGTACATACGTATGTATCTTACAGATACCAATTGCGTAGAAACAAATACGGACCACCGCTTTGCGCTTGTCATATTGTTTTCAGTTACATATGTATGTACACATACATATGTATATTTTTTTAAACAACTATGTATGTATGTATATACATGAACTCGGATTCGCTAACGTAATGGTCTTGTGGGCCTGTAAGTGGCAAGGCGGGCGCGCTCGAGACATTTGCAAGCCAACATCAACGCGACGTCGCGCTATGCCTTAATACAAATACACAAATATGTATGTATGTTCGTATCGGTGTGTCGGCCCCCTGCTTCACTAGTTACTTAGTTTGCACGGCTGCTTGTTGATTGTAATTATCGCAAGCAGAGCTATAGACGAAGAATAACAGCAGAAAAAACAAAAAATAAATGTTTACGCGTTTGCTTTAAATGACATATGTATGTAGATATGTACAAGTGTACGCCTTATATACATGTATGTATGTATGTTTGTATATGCATATGTCCCTTGTCGCTTAGCAGGACAAAACTCTGGAACCGAGAGCGATCAGTCAGAAGAACTTTGACAATGTTGTGTGGTAAGTGCTGACACCGATTAACATACATACATATACATACATATGTATGTATGTATGTTGGTGTACTATAAAAAAAAAATATGAAGGTATGCATACACAACATACATATGTAGCTACTTGCCATATATACATGTACATGTATGCATGTGTGTGTATGTTTCCACCGGGCATGAAATTAGCTTGTTTCTCTGCGTTGTTTTTTGCATGAAACGATTCGCATGTTGAAATTAATGGGAAATGTGTATGTATATATACATACATATATATGTACACATGAGCTATGTACGTTAATGTGTGTATGTATGTATATGCTTTGTGTCTGCCCATACACGTGTGTATATACATATGCATGTATGTATGATGCCTAAATCCAGTTTTTTATTTTGCGACAGCGTTCAATAAACAACTTTGAAGCCTTCCTCTTCTTTTTGTTTCTCTTCGCGACGAGTTGTAGGTGCTGCGAGGCACGTTTACAGTTTTTTTCGTTTTCTTTTGATCTGTCTTTGTCACAAGAGGCGAGAGAAGCCACCAGTAGTATCCACAAGTTTCTATACATACACATGTACACACATATGTACCTATAACTATGCCAGCTAATACTAGTTTAAAGAAACCGTGTGAAATGAGTCATGTTTATACATTCGTATGCATATTTAGGAGAGCGTAGTAGACCAGTTTTATTTATTTTGTATTTATCTTAATTTTTTTGACACTGTATAGCTGGCGGTAGTCGTGATGGGGGTTTTACCCACTTACCTCCTAGTAAAAATTCAATGCCGTCTGCATAACCTCCGCCGTGCCACATCGCATCCGTTATTTGTCGTGTGGGGGACCATTGAAAATTTCTCAATCTCTTTGTTTCATTGTTTTGGGGGGTTTGGTTATTAGGAAACGAATACGGGAATTTTTAAGGATTGTTGGTATGGGGGGCAGTTTAATTACGTTTTAAATGAAGCATTTACATAGTTTTATTTTTAAGATACAATCATACATTACAGATAGTTGAATCACAAAAAATAACTTCACAAATATCATGAGTGTGCATGACTTTGTAATATGTATTATATGTACATATGTATGTATATGTACTATTCAGATTGCCGTATTTTACCCTTGCTAAAAAAGCTGCCTCGAAAAGTGTTCTTTGTAGTTGCAACAACGATTTGTTGCCCTTGGGAAATGTCCGCTCAAAGAATAGAACGGAAATGGGTGTGGAATTAAATTATAGGACGGCTGTAGAGTTTCGGCCATGGGAACTATCCTTAGTAGAGCTTTTATAGTCCTCAAAACGATGCGTTGTTCATCTCTGCAAGGGTATTTTCAGTTTCATCATGCCAAAAATAAAACAACCGTTCATTGCGTGCACACGATGCATTTTTTTACTCCCTTTCTCTTTCTTAACGCTGTCTCTTGTGTGTTACAGAACTCAAGTGCTGCATATATGTATTTGGTAATATTCACGGGCTGAACTAATAGAATGTGTATTCCAAATCGCTGCCTGAAACAATTGTGTGTGTGTGTGTAAAGTGAACACATGTGTATATGATGTTTTGGAGGGGAACAGTGGGAGGGGTGTTAAAATTGTTGTGTAAATAAAATGAAAATACAAAATTCAATTTTTTTTTGTTAATTATACAAAGCTTCAATAAATTTCTTTACGAAAGCCGTGTACAATTTTTATTTTTTTATTTTTTTCTATTGTTTTTGTTGGTTGGGTTGTTCTCTTTTTTCTCATTTCGTTTCTTTTTTTTCGACTTAATTAAAACATAATTCCCATATTGCTTTTACAAATTTTCATTAACTCGTTCTTTACAAATCTTTTCTTGTTGTGGTCCATTTACGGTGTTTGTGTGTTGGGGTTTCTTTTTACTTCTTTTTGTTAAATGTAATTTGTAAATATATAAACCGGATTTAAAATTATATAGCAAAGTATCACAAAAAATTGCAAATTAAATTGTAAATTAGATCAACGAAGAAATTAAAAAATATATATACGTACATATATACATATATAGTAAGACCGACAAATCTCTGCTTAAAATGGTAAAATTAATATTCGAACTCCAATACAATTATTTTTGTGTTTGTTGTTACATTTCATAACGTCATTAAATAAAAAATAAAAATTTGAATGGATTTTTAAAACTTTTTTTTGTCTTCATATTTTTTTTTATTTAGCTTCGAATCGTGGTGCGACAAACTATGCTTTGGGGCTGGCTCTTAAAGGCCCCTGAACTTTAAAAAGGAAATTAATTTGTACTGATTGGTGTTTATTTTTTATTTAAAAAGTTATCAAAGTTTTGCGCTCGTACGACTCGAAGGTAAGTAAAAAAAAAAAAATAAGCACACATGTGCGCCATTTTGGTTCGGGTACAGTTTTTCTTTATAGTATTTTTGTTTTTCATATTATTTGTTTTTGCTTTTGGTTTTTTATATTTATCAAATGTACGTTTTGCTTAAATTGACGTCCAGTAACAAATGTTTTTTTTATTTTAATAGCTTACACTCTTAAAAAAATGCAAAATTCTGCGCGACAAGTTCTCCTCTTCCTATCAACTGTATGTATGTATGTGTATGTGTGTCTTGTGTGTGGGTTTCACTTTTAGTTTGTTGGCTAGTGTTGAGCACTGCTCAAACGTTTTGCTTGATAAAATACTCTTAGTAGTATAGTGTACATATATATATGCATGTGTATGTATGGTACATGTATGAGTGTGTATGTGTGTATGTATAGTAACTTGAAGAATACAAGCTTTAAAGCTACCAATTTATATGACAACTTGCTCTCAAGTAAACCTAAAAAATAGTGCATGACTTTTTTGGCTTTTCTTTTCAACTCTTAAAAACTAACATCATATTATTTTCTTTTGTATAATTTAGCTGTAGCAAAAGGTTAAACAATAAATTTACAAAAAAAAAAAAAAAAACTCAAATTGTGCTGGGTTTTCTTTCTGTTCTTATTCTTTCTTTTGGCTTATCACGCAAGAGGCCAATTCAATCGAAAAAAAAGGAAATTTATTTTAACAACAAAACTCACGCTGCTTTTCATAATTTCTTTTCTTGTTCTTCTCATACGCAAAATACAAATAACTTTGGGATACTTGTGGAGTGTGGGAGCGGGAGGGGGGAGAAAAAGGTTAGGTTGGGCACTTTTTACTTAAATAATTTACATACATATTAATTATTAACAATTAATATTAAATGCTAATAATGAAAATAAGGTACTGGGTTCAAGTGTTTTTTGTTTTTAAAGTTAATTTCAATATATGAGCATAGTTTTACATAGAAAGTAGTATATTTGTTTTGTTTTTTCGTTTTTTTTTATCACCCTCCTCTCTAACTCTAAACATATTATCATCATTCTAACTTAAAGCGTGTTTGCGGGGGGAAATTGCAACAAAGTTTCACAATCGTTTTTTAAATAACTTTTCGAAATAGTTTATTTTTTTGGTTTTTAGCTGGGGCGCAAAAAACAATTTATTTGGCAATTTAAAATAAAATGTTTGCGCCCGCGCTAAATGGCCTAAAACAAATAAATTGTATATAACATATGCAATTTTTTAAGATATATTTTTATACAGTTATAATATGTACAATTCAAGAATGTTTAAATTAGAATTATAAAGCCATTTTGTGTGTTTTAGATCATTTTACAATTTTTTCTATTCTTTTTCGAAGTGGACTCGTTAAAAACTAAAATTAATGGAAGTTTTTATGCTACAAATATATCAAATTATGCATACTAAATACGTGAGAGGCTGGCGCTTGAGTGTGAGTGTGTGAGTGTGTGTATATGTATTATATGATATCTTAAGGTAGAGAGGCCGTTGAATTTTTCTCCTTTAGTTGTAGTTGTTTTAGGCAAGTTGAATGCATTTTGCGCTGATTTTGCAGCGTTAAGTTTGTCGTCTTTCATTACTTTCTCTTTGTTTCTTTCTTTTTTCTTTTTTGTTGAATTAGTCTTTTGTGATTTGGTGGGTGTTATTATCTTTACTTTTATTATCTTTATTTTTATTATTATTATCATCATCATCATGTTATAGTTTTTTAGATTTTAATTAGGTTTTCCATACTCGTTCGCTGTGTTTGTGTGTGTGTGCTCATCTCTCAACAGTTTCTCTTTCTTTTTTAAGGTACGTTGCACATGTTGTCCGCTTGGGGAATATATATGTAAACATAAGCTGTACTTATGTATGCGCTTCTAGCGTCATTTGTTTAATTACTCATACATATTTATATAATTTATAATTTTACTTATTAATTACATTTACATTTTCAAGTCTATTTGCGTATCACGTTTATAAAACAATGTTCAGTTGTGAAGTTGTATCCGTTATACATACATATAGAGCCCTCCTCTTACTGTTCTACAAAATTCCTACTAGCCAAGCGTCCATAAATCATTTTTATTTTGTTTGTTTCTTTGTTTTTTTGTAGGTTAAGGTTTTATGTTTTTTTTTTGTTTAATTATCGATTGGCCTTTCAAAGTTTGCATATTGAAGTTAAGAGCTGAATTTTGTTGCTGGGTGTTGCTGTTGTTGTTGCTGTTGCCAACGGGGAATTTTGCATCTTTTTTGTTGTGTATCTTTTGTCGTTGTTGTTTTCCATTTGTTTACTTTCCTTTTAAATTTTGCAATTTTTTTTCGTTTTCTTTTTTTTTTATTTTATTTTTTTTCCTATTTAGCTTCTCAATTTTGTTGCTGTTTTATGATACATTTGAGATCACAAACATTACTCGTTTTTTTTTTTATTATTGTTTTTTTTTTTTTTTTAGTTTAAAAAAGTTCAAATTTTCAGTTTAAATGATTTGTATTTTTTTTTGTTTTTTTTTTTTGTAGTGTAGTTTTTACAATTTTTATATTTTTGATTTTTTTGTAATTTTTTTTTCTTTCATTTTTTCCTCTTTTATTTGCAAGTCATTGACGGGTTCGTGTTGGGTCCTCCATGTTCAGTTTATTGTGGTTGCCATTTCGCTGCGTTTGTTGTTGTAAATGTTGTTTCTGCGTTACGACTGCACGTTCAGCAACAGCTTCAGATTGTGCGTATCAAATTCATCCAGAAGATTGCGCTTGGATGATTTAACCACATAGCCGCTGCCGCCGGACATGTTCAATTTGGACGCACTGCATCTGTCGCCGCGCAACAGGCTCTGCAAGGCGGGACCAGCACTGCTGGCCACCAATTTCTCCTCGGACTTCGACAGCGTCCAGTGCTGCGGCGGCTTGGGCAGTGCCGTTGGTGCCGGTGCGTCAAAGCACTTGCTGCCAGCAAAATGCGTCAAGGCGGTGGGTATCAGTGGATGCTGTGGCGATATTTTGCCGCCCACACCAAAGCAAGGTGTTGTTGTTGGACTGCGGCGTTGCTTGCGTGCCGAGCCAAACGCAGACGGTGAGAAGCCGCCGCCCAAAATTGTAGCCGGCGATTGGCGCACCAAGCTGCTGGTTGTTGTTGCTGCTGCTGACTGTGGCGAGCGACCACCGCCGCCGCCGCCATTGCGCCTGCTGTTATTCGCAAAGAAGAAACCGCCGCCTCCGACGGTCTGCTGCGGCGACTGACGCTGTTGGCGGCTACGCTGATTGGCGCCAGCGGATTGGCTCTGCAGACGTTGCTGCTGCTGCTGCATGCGATTGTTGGGCGTGGTGGGGGCGCAGTGGGTGGGTGATGTGCTTAAAGCTTGCTGATGGAAGTGCTGATTGTTGAAGTTTGTACTGCTGGCAATACTGTTGGAATGTGCAGTTACCGTGGGGGTTGCGGTTTCTATTGATGTTGTGGTTGTTGTTGTTGCTGGTGGTGGGGTTGTGGCACCCTTTTTCAAGCGTATGGACTTTGCTGCTGATGCTGTTGTCATTTTAATGTTGTTTCTAACACTATTGTGCGAGTATGTCATAGTAATTTCTTGTTTTCCGTTGTTTTCACTGTCAAAAGCTTTTCCAACACTGCTGCTGCTGCTGTTGTTTCTTCAATATAAACTGAGCTTTACCCAAAGCGCACTCTCTCTCTCTCTCTCTATCTCTCTCTCTCTTCGCTCGATTTATTTGTTAAAATTTCTGCTTTTTTGCCTTTTTTGTTTTTGGTTATTCGCTAAATTAATGCTTAACGTTAAATATCACACGCACTTAAAATCAATATTTTTGTTTTGTTTTTATTTATCGATATCAAACGCGAAGCTGCTGCTACGTCGCTGCCTGTGCACCTCTCCGTCTCCGTTGTCCTCGTCTATTTTGTTTCACTGTGACGATGTTACCGGACTCTCTTCTCCTACTCTTATCGCTCAATCTCACAGTAGCGGATAACGGGCGGCTGCTCACGTAGTTCTCTTTTGTTCGTCTTCTTGCTGTTGTAGCTGCGTTCGGTTTGCGTCTCGTTTTGTATGTACAGTTTTAGTTATATACTTTATATAGTTTAACTTTATGTATTGTTTATCAGTCTGTTGATTTATCTCTGTTTTGTTAGGCTATCCTTCTTAGCGCTAATTTTCCAAACTTTCTTACTCTTGCTTTTTTCTCTTGCCTTATCGTCGTAGCTGACATCCAAGCCGGGGTCCCGGGTCCTGTTCATTGACGTAGGTGAAAATGGAAAGAAAAACAAACGGAAAAAAGAATGTTGAGCAAAAACAAGTAACGTAACGAGTACGCACACAAATATGTACATAAAAAACACGCAAGCACAAACGTATACATATGCACGTGAATGCGCTAAAGCTTTGCTGCGACCCGCATTTTATACACATGCGTGTATATACCGTGTATGTTCTATTTACGTCCATGGTTGCCTCATAAAAAATTAGCGCAAGAGTTGGTTATTTTCTAACAGTTATTGTTGCAAACTCAATAATGTCCACAAAATAAACAATAAACAAGGATTTATTTAGCTATACACGCTCGTACATAGTTTTATTGCAGATTGCATATAAAATATAACATTTGACGACAATGCAACGACGTCAAACGTGTATCAATGAATCAACATATGCAACACGCGTACAATTTACTAATACAATTGCGACTTACTTTGAGTTGTAAACCTCTTCACACCAATATTGTTGTTGTTGCTGCAGTCTAGCTCGCTCGCACACTCGCTGATTTGGTGACGCGGTATGAGAGTGAAAAAGACGACTGTATGTTTGTCGCAGTTATTGATTGCTTTGCAGCTACGGGGGGGTTTTTCTTTGCCACTTTTGTTATACTGATTATTACAAATTATTTGCATTTATATTTAAGAGTTGCCTTGTTTTCACTGTTGCCAGTTCAATTAAATTTGTTTTTGTGATAGGTATTCTATAGGGGGAATTGTGAATTGTTTTTGTTGACGATTTTCTCTAATGGTTATGTGTGTGTGTACGTATATATTTTTATATTTGTATGTATGTAAAATCACTTTCAAAATGGCGACGGGATGTTTGCTTAAAGGGATTCCGCTTAAAGCTTTCTCCTCTCACTTACAGACAAAGGCTCAAAAAAATCACACTTTTAACTGATTCTGATTCGGTTTTGCTTAACGTTGTTTTCTTTAGAATTTACTGTTTTATTTTCGCAAAGTACACGACGACCATGGGCAATCGCAATCCAGTAGTTGTGCCACACAAGAAAAGTTTTGCTTTTGCGTTAATTTTTTTTATTGTAGTTGGTGCTTTTGCTTCTCGTTTTTCTTTGTGTGCGATTAGCTTCACTCGTTGTACTTTGACGCGTATTAAAATATTAAACGTTACACAAATATTTGATTTATATCACTTAAATTAAAGACATTTACAATATATAATTACATATATATATTTTTTTGCAGAAATTTTAATCAATATTCAACTTTTTCTTCTTAGCTTATTCTTGCGCATATGTACGCTCTTCTCAAATTTTCCACCATGACTAACAGTCTGTCAAAGAGTGTGACCGGATTATGACTTGCTGAAAATACTGTAATTAGTGATGGGAGTGTGTTGCACAAAGTTGCAATTCAAGACATCGGACGCTGGACGAAGCATACAATAGGCAATCAATTGCAATAGCAACTTCATTCTTGTTATGAAGTTCCTATTGATTCCGATTGAGAAAAATTCAAAATATATCATAAATATTTGTTTGGCTGGCTCGAGGTCCGGGTCCCGGAAAGGAAAGGTCGCCAAATACAGCATTCTTTATCTTTATTATCTCATGGCAATCAATTTTAGTTTTATTCCCAACAATATTTTATTCACATAAAATGTTGCCACATTGTACTCAAATGAGCTGTTAGCTCTCTGCTATGCTTTAGATGCTATGTGAACATTATTCATTGTCATCATTACTGTAATATATCGATAATGTCAAAAATGGCGCCAAATTTTAAATCCCAGTATATGTGAAAATAGATTTATTTTTGGGGAAACAATTTTTGCCTAAAAAGTTAAGCATAAGAAAGCGTTAATTTAATTAATAACAATCGGAAATCATATTATCATCACGTTTTATCGCATTAAGTATGTCATCCAGCAGACAAACCAAATTATCGTTGCAATCAAACCACTCATCTTGCTGTTTCACTAGCTTATCCAAGTCAAATTTACCTATTTCCTCCTTCCATTCGCGCACAGAAACGGCAAATTGCTTATAATAGAACTCATCAATATGTCGTTTCTGTGTATCCTCATTATTGATATGCATTTGCGTTTTAAAGGTATTTTCCAATAGCAGCACATCCTGAGCATTCAATATAGATTCGATAACATCATCAGCCTGCTGCGCATTTACTGCAGCATCATCCACGACGGGTTCAACAGACATGGGCTCCTCGGGCGTAAATGGAAAGTTGGAGTTTGCACTGTTTACGGGCGGCGTCAGCGTTTCAATATCATTTAATATGATTTCAAAGTCATATTCATTCAGTTTATCATTCATTGATTTTATGCCAGTCACAATCAGCTTTAGCACCTCCTTGGCATACTCCTCATGCAGACACTTAAGTATAATACCATAGTAGCCATATTGCTGCACCTCCGCCAAGACTTTCGCTACACGTAACTTCACTTCACGTCCTGTTAGTGTAACAATTTTTTTGTGTTCCTTGGAAAATGTGACAGTGGGAAAGGCGCCATCAATCATGCCTTGATTATTGAACTGACGATTAAACTCCATGCGCCAAAAGCACAGCGCGTTTACCTTCACCTCCCAGTGATGATCGCCCACGACACAATAGTTGAGCGTTGAGAATAATGTATTCTTATATTTACTTGGAATCTTACGGTGATCGTAGATTTTGGACAGGGTTAGTATGGCCTCGGCGCGTACAATATCATCATTTTCGCGATACAGCACGTATAGCAGATGATCCTGAAGTGTAAATAAATTTATTAATGTGAGATATTATATATAAACAATAATATTATACCACTAAATCCAATTGGCTGAGTCCGTTTTCCCACAACGCATTGATGGGCACCATTTTGGATAGACATTTGTAGGCGGAGGCGCGCACATATGGTTCGCTATCATGCTTGGCCATTTCATAAACAATTGGTGGCATTTTGCCGTCAATAAGAAATTGTTGGAATGCGGGAAACTCTGAAAAATATGCAAAAACAAAAATTCAATTTGGGCTATGCAAAAGCAGCAAAGTGATCTACTTATGCGAGAGATGCAGGCAATGGATGTTGTTAGCTCCAACGCAGAATCACGCACTTCCCAAGCCGTGTCGTGCATGCGTTTGACAATAATGGGACCCAGGCAAACCAAAGCCGAGCCCTGTAGATTATCCACAAGCAGCGCCATATTGGGTGACAAAAAGTGCTCCACAGCCAATTGAACCAACTTCAGGGCCTCCACGGTGCACTGCAAGTTAACGAGATATTAAGCTGGGTTTGTTTTAGGTTTTTGAACTACCTACAGTCGGATCCAAGTTGCAGTTTTCTAGCACAAAAGCCAAGCAGTTAACCAGACCAATTGTCTCCACGGATTCCTTCCACGTGATCTTAAAGCGCTCGATGAGCGTGCGCAGACCAACCATAACTGAATGTAAAACCTTTGGATCCTTGATGATAGCTTCAGAGCCACGTGGATATATATCAGAGTAATTACTGGAGGTGCTCGCACCATGGCAATCCTCTGGCTCATTGTGCTTGCTGGAATGATTGAATGCGACAACCTCACGCAAAGCATAGAGCAGCGCCTGGCAGACGGTGACCGCTTGCTCGCGATCCAGTACATGCTCTAGTGAGAGTATACTGTGCACACATTTCCGGGCCAATTCCGGTGTGAACAATCCGCCATTGGTATGACCTTCGGGTGTGATAAAGGCATCGCGCAAGCTATAGCACAAACGCAGCGTTTGCTCGCAGGACATTTCAAGGAGTTTCATGATGTATGTATCAAAGAGTTCGCTCTTTGACTCATCGGCCATTTTCATTGCAAACTTCATGGAGAAGAGTAGCGGCATCATGTGAAAGCAAATTAACTGGTTTTCAAATGAAACACGCTGGTCCTGGATGACGATTTCCTTAGGCACTCGTGTGCCCAGCTTCTTCCACAGTATGTGATGCAGTTCAGCCATTTTGATAAAAGTGATGCCATCACTGCGCTGTATGCAGAATTTCATGAGATTAAAAAACGACAGTCCAAAATCGGTGAACTGCTCCGGAGGCTCTACACAATCTGGATTCAGTATTTTCTCATGAACCAGCGTAGCAAAGTGATAACTGCAGAGTGTACTAAGCATCTTCTCCGTGAAGTACGTATTATGCGTCATCTCGACTAGTTTCCAGATATTTAGGTCAAGGTTGTGGTGCTCTCGCAACAGCGAGACAATTTTCGTACGTTCCTCGCTGACCAGCGTCTGCTGCAGTATATAGCTGAGCAGGTCAACCGTTGAAGAAATCTTGTGCAGCAGCTCATTATCATCCACACTGACATGTATACGCTCCTCCTCTCCGCTGGTATTATCACTGATATTATCTGTTATGTATACATTATCGTGTATGGGCTTCATAATCTCTGATAGAATCTCCAGGGTGACAGCCTCATCATGCATCTTGTCGCAGAATTTGTAGAGCATCTCGTAGAGCAGCTGACGTGCCTCACGCACTACGTACAATGTGTGCTCGTTGTTGCTATAGTGAATGAGCAGCGTCCAGGAACGCTGCAATCGCAGAAATGCCAGGCCCATGCTGTATTTGGTGACCGCCTTCATAACGCGTATGCCGCTTAGTTTGATTGAGGGACTAAAGTTTCGCTCTTGCGCCTGCATAAAGAACACAACCCTGAAATAAACAATGAGGTCAACAAAGTTGTGACTGTAAATTAGCTATTACCTATGCATAATATCCAGCTCACGCAGCCGTAGCACCATCCACTCATTCGACGTCATAAAACTGATCAGGTTCAGCATAAAAGATATCACCTTGGGGTGCACTCTGTGAAAATCATCGCTGATTAGCGTCAGGCATTTGTTCACCCAATCCGTGACGAAGGGCACCTGTAGCACAAAAGCATTTTCTATGGACAAATAAAGTTAGAGATGCCGCCTGTTGCACTCACATAATATACTTGCCCTTCGCCTGCAGGTGCGTTATAAGCTTTTCAAAGTAAACACTGTCGGTAGTGGAAAAGTTGTCGCGCAGAAATAACTCGAAGATTTCTTTTAGGCGCGTTGTGATCTCCTCTTGTTTTTGCATCTTTGGACTGGGACTATTTCAACTGCTGGGTCGTTAGGCACATAATTTGGTACGCAATTTTACAAAGAATAATGAAATTTGCCTCCTTATCACACACAATAATACTCGTTTTAATTTTAGTGTGACCGAATTGCACACGCTTATAAATAAACATATGTACCTGTTACTTACGATTACACGATTAGTGACAATAGAGACAAAATCGCTGATGTCATATTGCTAGAAGTGCCAAACCGGCGGCATTTAATAAACTCATTATTATTGATTATTATTAATTAAGCGATTTTGTATTCCTTTTGTATATATTTGCAAAGAGTTTAATATATTGAAAAGTACAAATAAAGGGGCCCGCCCCATCTCATACGTTTGCTACACGTAAAATTAAAAAAAAAGTTAAAATAAAATAAAATAAATACTAAAAATCACTTCAATCTAGGGATACGTTATAGGTAAGCACACGATAACAAAATTTTAAGATGCCATTTTTTGTTTGTTATTTAGCTATAATTAATTTTAATTTATATTTAATAAAACAACGTTTGCCGTTTTGACATTTTGATGCCCACTTAATAAAGGCGCATCTAACAGTATGTGGTAAATGCCATATTTAACTTCTTGCACTTAGTTGGTCACACCGTTCTAAATGCAATGACGCTGACACTGACATCGGACTTCGATATTTATTATGGACAATAATGTAGGGCAAACTGAAGAAAAATCAAAAATTGCACCGACAACAGCAAACGCAAGCGAATTAATCGCGGCGACACATAGTGTAGCAATTGGAGCAAAGTCGCCAACAAGCATTTTGACAAATTCAACATCGTTTTGGAAGAACAGCGGCCGCGCAGTGCCCGGACGGCCTAGTCCAAAACGCGATATTCTCGACAACACAACCAGCAAGTCGGGCGCCGGGACTGTGGTGCAGCGTGATCGTGGCAACGGTGGCGGCATGGTGTCCACCTTTCGTGACTATCAGCAGTCGGTGAGCGATGCCTGGGACACGGGTGACGATGAATTCTGCATCATAAGCAGCACCGAGGCAGCAGCTGCCGCAGCAGTTGGGGGTAAACAACAAACAAAATTAAAATTAGTCGACTATTTACATAGAATTTGGCGTTAATTTTTCAGATGCCACACGCATATCGAGGCAGGTTTCACAAACGGTGGCGCTAAACGTCATCGAAACGCATTCGCGCAGCAATCAAAACCACGTCACAACCAGCGAGGCGACCTACACGAACGTTAGCAACACGGATCTGATAGTAGGCGGCGCTAGCTATGCGGAAGATATCAAGGAGGATCGCAGAACATCGCATGACAACAACGAAATCAGGTGAGGCGGGAAAGGGTCAACATCAGTTGCCAAACAATTCGGAAAGGCAAATTCTATTTAAACCTCGCCTAAAAATCTAAAGTAATAGTCAGTAGTTCCCTTCACGTTTTCATCCAGTTGTTCACCTTTTGGCTCTGTTTGTAAATCTGCTTTTCATAAAACGAAGGCTTTAGTTTTCAATGAAGTGTTCAATGAAGAAAGAAAAATAGACTATTATATAAATCGGTTTTTAAAAAAAATGCAAAATACATTTAGCAATCATGCCGGTTTGGTTGCAGTTATTTTTTAAGGACCCGCGAACAAACATTATTTTTATACAAAAACAATTTTAAAATTATGATTTGGTTCAGGCTAGTCTTAATTGATTTGTATTATCATTATACTTCTTATAGATCTCGCTTGCGTAACTATCCGGGACGACCGCAGCTGCAGAAGATTAGCAGCAACTCGCAGGATGGTGAATATGAGACGAAGATTGAAAAATTTCAATTGCTGCTCGACTCACCGCAGCTCGATTTGGTGGCGCTCAAAAAACTCAGTTGGTCGGGTGTGCCGCGAAAGGTAAGTGCTCAAACAGGGCACAGAAACCAACTACAATTTATTTCTACTTGCAGATGCGCGCTGTTAGTTGGCGTTTGCTATCGAAGTACTTGCCGCCTTCGGGCGAACGCCGAAATGCAGTGCTGCAGAGCAAACGGCAAGGCTACCAGGATCTGCGACACAACTATTTTAAAGTGGATAGTCAGGATGAGACGCAGCAGGACACCTATCGTCAGATACATATCGATGTGCCGCGCATGAATCCACAAATACCGCTCTTCCAGCAGCAGCTCGTCCAGGAAATGTTCGAGCGTATACTCTTCATTTGGGCCATTCGCCATCCAGCCTCGGGCTATGTGCAAGGCATCAATGATCTGGTTACGCCTTTCTTCATAGTCTTTCTGCAGGAAGCCCTCACACCGGACACAGATCTTGAGAAATACAACATGTCACAATTGCCAGAGGAAACACGCAATATTATTGAAGCCGATTCGTTTTGGTGCCTTTCTAAGTTTCTCGACTGCATACAGGATAATTACATATTCGCTCAACTGGGCATACAAGAGAAGGTGAATCAACTCAAGGATCTAATACAACGTATTGATGGTAAGCACTATTATAGCTTAGCAAAGGGTCCGTTACCTGTAGAATGCCGCAGATCAATAACCCTGGGAGACATTTAGCTAATTTGCGACCTACTTCTTTGGTTAACGAACAATAAATGTTTTAATACATAAAATCTTGTATCCGATCGATTAGGGCTAATTACCCCTTTGATATATATATATATATATATATATATATATGAAAATAAAAAATATTTGTAATTTGTTTCTCCTTTTTTTACAGTCAATCTGCATCGTCATTTACAGACACATGGTGTTGATTATTTACAATTCTCATTTCGTTGGATGAACAATTTACTGACACGCGAACTGCCCCTGCACTGCACAATCCGTCTGTGGGACACATATCTGGCCGAGTCCGATGGATTTGCGCTCTTCCACCTGTATGTGTGTGCGGCCTTTCTGCTGCACTGGAAGGAACAGCTGATGCAACAGAATGACTTTCAGGTAACTAAGACACATCCATGGATAGGCTATCATAATCTCATTACGAAATATTTAACACCTCAGTCTCGATTGGATATAAAGTTACCATTTTTAGAATGTCTGACTTTCACTTTGTTTTAATTGAAACCAGTTATCTAGTTTTTCAGCCTATCTCTTGAGGAACTTAACATAGATCTATCTTTTACTGCACCCAGTTCTTATGTAGATATATCGGAGTCAAAAACTAAATTATACCAAATTTTTATTTGAGCTATTCGATTTTTAAATTGGCCATAAAATTTTTAAGCCACATTTTGTGAAAAAGGTTCCGATTCTGAAATTAAACAGTTTTCCATTGATACTAATCATTTGTAACGATTTAACGAATCAAAAAAGAAATGTTTTTTCGAAGACCTGCTTACTTCTAAGCTAGTTATGAGCAAGTTTTCATAAAATGTATCTTGTTCAAATTAGACTAGTATGTCATGTATAATATGTCATTGGAACAATCGATAAAAATATTGATTTTTTGATTTATCCATAGCGCTCGTCTGCTCCTATATCTGCAAAGTAACATCCTAAAGAAACAACTGTATATTCTGGTATTAATTATTTTTATATTTTTTATAGGGTCTCATGTTGCTGCTACAAAATCTGCCAACGCATAATTGGTCCGATCGCCAAATAAATGTGCTGCTTGCTGAGGCGTTTCGCTTGAAATTCACATATGCGGACGCGCCCAAGCATCTGGAGACGAAGAGTTGACAAAAGCAATCCGGAATGATGCATATACGATACGTAACATAGAAATTAGTGTTTACTACTTTTGCTGGTATATATATATATTTATATGTATATATACACAAACACTCACACAAACGTAAACATCATACATCATATATTATATACAATTTGTTATTATCTCTTGCTTTCGTTTTCTTATGTTTGTGTGTTTTGTTTCCTAATTTAATTTTGTAGCTGAACTTTTATAATACGCTTTTCTGTACATAGATATGAAATTCAAAATTCCAAATACAATTTTACAACATTTAAGTAGAAATCATATTCAAGCTACAAAAACTTCCATGAAGCAAAAGGGAAATAACTATGCCGTGAATACAGTTCTTTAAATAGTGAAATAACGCGCAATCCCAAATGAAATAGTTAAAAAACTGTGCTTAGATTTGATATAAATAGCAATAAATGCAATAACGAAATATATAGTTAATCATATTGAAGAATATACATAAATATATTCTATAGTTGACGCATAAATTTGAAATTATAACATAAAATAACACTTTGAAACTTGATGGAAACGTAATTAAATTTCTTTATAACAATATAAATGTTACATTTACAATTAACTTTAAAAATATTTACAGCTTAAAGTTTTTGGAACAACTTATTTTATTTGGGCGTTATTTCATATTTTTCGATAGTTTTCTCATTTTATGGTTATCTCGTGATGCTCTTGAATTAACCCAACAAAAATAAAATCTACCTTATTAAACCAGGTCTATTCCATTAACCAGATCTATAATATTTATAATCGCATCCTAACTTTGACGTTCAGCTATGTGCTTCAGCTGCTTGAGAACCGTCTCCAGCAGCTTTTTCTTATCATTTTTGCGCACCAGCGAGAAAATTGGCTTCTTGTCCGCCTCACGTATTTTCTCCAGTATAACAATAATAGACTGCGGCTGCACCAGATGATAGCGATTCTCCTGCTTGCCATAATCATGGAAATACGTGCTCCACTCCTCCAGTATAAGCAAATCAAGCAGCTGACGATTGCGCTGAAAATATTTGCTTAGCTCGCCATCATGCAAGCCCGGCACTGGCTCCGAGGCGGCAAAGAATTCGCACTGCATCAAATCTAAATTGATTTGGGTCAGTGCGCCCGTGGAGATCTGCTTGACCTCCTCGTCATACAATATAGAGTAGATCTTGTCGGCAATGTGCTCGCAGGTGCGACGACAGGCGGCTTGGGCTATATGGGGCAGCTTGTACGAGAAGTTATCAAAGGTGCTCTTCAAATATGAGATCATGTCCGTGATGAAAGCGGAGGCAATACCCGGTGGCTCTACCAGCAGCCAGTCATAGGCGCTCAGCTCAAAGAACTCGTCAATTTTAAAGCATATGCGTACTGCCACCTGCTTCTCGGCATCCTGGCGTGCCACATTAAACATGGCCGACGGCGTCTGCGAAATGCTTCGCTCCGTATTGGTCATGTGGCAGACAAACTCATCCAGAAAAGGGCCCGCCTTGTCCAAATATTGCGTATCAATAATGATTTGTATAAGCTGAATGAGCGTAATGTTTGGCTGGCGGAAGACCACTGAGAGACAACCGCTAAAGCTGCGCGTGAGCAGCAGATTGGCCGCTTTGCGTACCATGGCGGCCACCTCATTGGGCGAGAGTGTCAGCTCCTCTGCGAACTTCATGCAGGCGTACATAAACTCTTTGGCCTGATGATACACCTCCGGCACCATGCGTGAGAAGGGAAACTGTTTGGGAAATGGTGCATTCTCCAGCTGCTCGGAATGAAAGGGAAAGCGCTCGATAATGCACTCATACTCCTCCACATTCTCCACCACCATGGGTACAAACTGCTCCTTGTCCAGAATCTCACGGAAAACATGAACCCAGCGTTGCAAGAGAACCTGTAAAAAAATAATTCAAGTAGCCATAGGAGACATCTTTTGGGCTTACCTCATTGTAATGATCACGCATATCGTGCAGCAGCTCCCACAGAATTTGTACCGTGTAGCCATAGCACTTAAAGGTATTGATGGACAGCATAATGAGGTTCTTGATGCGCAATAGAATATTTGGGTCGGTGCAGGAGGAGGAGCTCATGCTGATCTCATTGACAAACTTGGTTAGCGAAATAGACCACAGCTCTTCAAGATAGCTGTTCGTAACCACTTCTCCTGCGGTGTTTTTCACATGATCCTCAACCACAAAAAATCCCACAATTGCGCATATGTATGTCTTGTAGGCTTCCAAATTATCGTGCATATTTGGCGGTGGCTGCAGCACCAGCTTAGACTGATCACGCCGCTGCTGGCGATAGTCCTTCTCAAAGTACTCCCGTTGGCCCAGCACCATGTAGATGTGGAGGCAGCGATAAATGGGTGAAAAATCGATTAAATCCTGAGCACTCACATTGCCACCATCATCGTCGCCGCCACCGTCGATGCCGCTTTTGGCCTGCTGTTTGTGTTCCTGTATAATGGCATTGATGTCGCGTTTCTGCAACTGTTTGGTGTGCGTAATGGCCAGTTCACCAATCCGAGGAGAAAATTTACGTATGTTCTCCAAAAACTCACGAAAATCGGCTGCCGCTGAGCGGCGTATGTTCTCCTTGATGATGGGTATCTGTGTTTGCATTTGAGTAGCAAATCGATAGTTGTGCCGCTGCAGTCGCGACAAATGCTCCGCCTCAAGAGTTTCCAGCGTGCGGAGTGCCTGATAGTATTGCTTGTTTTTCGCCTGTTGGGTGAATTTCATATAGCACTCCAAGGCGGGTAGACAGGATTTAAGCGCCTCAATGGCGCTGGCTACATTCGATTCGATTTGACGGGCACGTACCAGCTCATTGCCTTGCTGAATGAGGGAGGCGCTAATAGTGCGCAGCGATGTGTCCAGCGAGTGGACTTCATCGTGCAGCTGCTTGGCCTGCGTTCGCACCTGCAGAAGTTCCTGTATGGAGTCAATAAAGCCCTGATAATACAGATTGCATATGCGCTCGATCTCTTTGTCGTGGCTGCGTACGCGTTGGTCCAGCTGTTCGCTGATTAATTTGCTATTGTTGCCTGCGGGTAAGGTGGGCGTCAATAGAAATGATGAAGTGCAATACTATAAAAACCAAACGTACCCTCGAGTATTGAGCGGAACGTGGGACCCCAATAATCATCCACGGCCTCTATATCCTGCACCGTGACTTTAGACATGATGTGCACTTATTTTGAGTTTCTTTATTGTACTTTTTCAATTTTTAGCCAAGATTTTGTCATTTGCGGCTGTTTTGCGTGTTGATCAACGCGCTTAGCACAGCTGCGTGTGAACGTTTTGCAACACGGCCAAACGAGTCGATAGTACTCGTAAAAAGGTTCGTAAGGGCACACACACGGAACGATACTGAAACAACCTGTTGCTGTTATTTAGGGGTCAGCTCCAAGCATTACGAATTTCAGAGACGACAAAAAATTGTTATACCACAACTTAATGCTGTTGATCGTTACGTGGATAACCATTTGGTATGTATTGAGCTATACAAGCATATTGTGTTGATTTTTTTCAAACAATGTATGTTATAATGCACATATAATCACAAACATACCTCGGGCTTATACACCAATTCAAATGCTCATCAGACAGTCTGAACGTTGCTTGATCCTAATATTCAACTTTCACTTCGGCTGCTTCTTAGCGGCTACTTGGAGTACTGCTTTTTGTTTGGGCCAAGTTGTTGGGCGCACAAACAGTTATGCGGTCGTCGTCGTGTCATCAGCTCTCGCAATAAGACAACAAATTTATGTACACGCACGCAATTGGGCGCCTACAACAAAAACAATAACAACATGGCTACTTTACGAAACCGCCAGAACACAAGAATACCGGAAACGGAACAGCAGTTGGGAAACAGCAGCAACGATAACAACAATGGGAAACCTGCTGCGCCAAAGGAGAGAAGTGATCCCATGATATATATTATATTTTTATCACTGCTATTCGATTTACTTGCGTTTACCATCATTCTGCCTTTGTTGCCCTCGCTCTTGGAATATTATCGCGTAAATGATAGCTCCGGCCTGTATGCCTGGCTTACAACGCGCGTGCGTTGGTTCCAGCAGCTTCTGGGTGCACCGGATCGGTATCTATCGGTGCTATTTGGCGGCTTTCTGGGATCTATGTTCAGTTTTCTACAATTCCTGGCCAGTCCAATTGTGGGAAGCCTCTCGGACTACTATGGGCGCAAGCCCGTTTTGTTGATTTGCGCTGTAAGTTGGTCAGTTGAACATAAAAGACGCAACTTACAATCATTAAGCTTTTCAATTGCAGTTTGGCATCGCGCTTTCCTATCTTATCTGGGCATGCTCTAGCAATTTTGCCCTATTTGTGCTGGCACGCGTCGTGGGCGGCATCAGCAAGGGCAACATTTCGCTCTGTATGAGCGTCATCACGGATGTGTCCAGCGTACGGACACGTGGACGCGGCATGGCGCTAGTTGGCGTTGCCTTTTCGCTGGGCTTTATTGTGGGTCCCATGATTGGCGCCATGTTTGCCATATTTTCGGATAAAAGTGCCAGTGGTGGCGCCTGGTTTGTGCTGCCCTCTCTGCTGGCACTGGGCTTGGCGTTGGGCGATGTGCTTGTCCTGGCGTTTTGTTTGCGTGAAACTTTACCGCAGGTCCGTTCTAGGACAATTGGAAAATTTAAATTCTGTGTAATGTCTGTGATTTTTTTCCTTTGTAGGCCAAACGTGCTCGCGAAATTTCGTCTGCTCTGTCTTACGGTCTGCAATTGCTCAACGTCTCCTCTATATTTGGGTAAGTTTTTTTTTTTTTTTTTTTTAAATTTTGTATTTAATTAGCGTATCTGCCAAGCAAGTCGTGTGACTTTTTTTTTAAATTCTTTTTTGCTTTACCCCATTGTCTCAATAGCCGACCAACAGGTTTTCCAGCTGTTGCAGCATTCGTCGATATCTTTCCCCAACTTGGGCACGATTTAACTGGGGTTTATTTGATTTGCCTTATCAATGTACATGATCGTTCGTTTCGTCTAATTGAAAAAATGTGTATGATTAAACACTCACTTGACCGCTTTACGCATAATCTTGATTTTATTTCGATTTCCAACGCTATAAATATTATTCCACAACAAACGCATGCAATCACCTGCCTAGGCAAACGAATTTGTCTTTTAAGTTTTTGGATTACATTTCTTAATTTTGAACTTGAGTGAAGTTGTTTGTCTTGCTCAGGGTGATATCCACTTCAAATGCTTTTCGAACATATAACAAATAAAATGTTTTTTTGATAACTTTTATATT